CTGTCTCTTGTCTATTCTCAGACCCGCCATCTCTCGCGCCCTCCATCTCTCTCGGATTGCTCCGCCTGCTATTCGTAGTAAGTACAAGGACCCGTTCAACATTTACCACCCTCCCTTAACAACACCATCACCCGTCATCCATCATCACCACCATCAATCCACTTCATCTCTTCCCGCCCTGCCAGGCACACACCCTTCTTGCCCTCTTTTCATCTTTCCTTTCCCCATCAATCTCTTTCCGCCGTCTGGTGACAAATATCCCGCCCTTCTCTGTCCTTGACAGCTTTGCCACACACCTCAGACAATCACCTGACTCCTCCAGCCACTTGCCGTGGGCGCGGGCCGATATTGAGTTGGTTGTTGAGAGCCAAATCCCGAACTATTCGCCGACAGCGACGACCAGCTTTGTCGACCACGCCACCAGATCCCCTTTACGGTATTCCACAGCGTCGCGCAAACCACCTGAAACCACTCGCTCTCCGTCTATACTCTCTTCCGGCTTGTCCCAGCAGGTCCCACAGCCTTCCAAGACGGAGCGTTGGTCCGGCGGCGCGGGCGCGCCCCTACTCACTCATCGCCAAACTCCGATATGTTAAGTCAGATCGCCAACATCTCCATGTCTATTCTATAGCAATAAGGTGAGTCGGAGCTTTCAGCCTTCATCATCATCCATCAGCAGGCTTGCTTTGAAATGGTCGTGTCGGTGTGTTGCCGTGAGTCCTGTGGACTGGCTTTGGGATCTTCGTGGGTGAGAAGCTCGACGCCTCAGAGAGGTTCCTCCTCCTTCCCCTCACCTAGCTTCTATCACAAGCTACAACTTTGTTTTTCTGTCAATATTCCGCCGGGTCTGATTCCAAACGTTCTAATGTTCAAAGTCTTTGAACCCGACACCTTGAGCTGACTCCCAGGCGAGAACAGCGTCAACCCCCGTCTCATCTGGCGTTGCCACCCTCACCCATCATGACCAACACACCCGCCAAATCGGGTCTGACGACTCGCGCGCCTATGCCGGCATTCGGAACCTTTGGCACGCATCAAGCATCTGCATCGCTTCTACTCCAGAAGTCAAACCCGGGTTTGGGCAGATCGACCCCCGATTCTGAGGCTCTGGCTTCCTCCGACGACGAGCCTGACCACGCAAAGGCTGCTGCGAGTGGCAACGTCAAGCCCAATAGAAACGTGCGAAGAACCTCATGGCTCAACGACGTCTCGTCGGCCAATGCAAATCGCAAACCCTCCATCACTGGCCCCTATAGTCCGTCCACGTCGCATCCGGGAACCCCTGGTGCAGAGCCGTCGCCTTGGGGAAATGCCAACAACGTTGCTGGTTCCGCTGCATGGCCCAACCCCACGACATCGTATCCTTGGCCCACCATCTGGAGTCAGGACGGGCGCAAAGACCCACCGGCCCGACTCCAGGAGGTCCTGCACGCGAATGGTGACGGCGGCATCCCATTCTCTATTCCTCTGCAGCCGACCCCCAAGACTTACCGCTCACAGTCATACTCTGTGGGCCAACTCGACACGTCCATTGCTCCGCCGGCTAATCCGATATCAACTTCGATTGAAGCCACGCGCAACAGACTCGGCAATCAATATCAATTGCAGAGACGCACGTCACGGACAAGCGGACTAGGCGTGTTGGAGTCCGGTGGGCTTGGCCGCTTGCGAGAGGTAGAGGATGACGAAGAAGATCAGCGAGGCAATGTCACCCCCGATGCCATTAGTGCAGAACAGGCGCGCATGATCGAGAGGCTGGAAAAGGAGAACGCGCAGCTTCGTCATGCTGCTCAAAGCCGGGAGAGGGGTTTCCCCGCGACGACCGCCGCCACCGCCCCAGTCCAGCCTCCTGGATTTCGAAACACGAGACTTCGAACCGCTGTACCTGAAGAAGCCGAAACTGCGATCGATGATAGAGAAGACCTCGCCGGATTTCCTGGTCGTGACAACAACGCCCGTCGCATGAGTGAACAACCGCTCGGAGTCGCCGAAAGACAGTCGCTGTCGCCCATCGAAAATCGTACCTTTGACGGAATCAAGAAGGCTCACTGGCAGACTTCCCTTGGATTCGGTCCCATCCCAGAAGCGCCCCAGAGTCGTCGACATTCGTTCGCTGATGTGCCAACCCGCCACGGATCCTTCAGCTCGAACGGTGAGCATACACTGCAAATGTTGCTTTTACAATTCCCCGGGGCTAATTGGTTAGGTCGCGAAGACGATGCGACGGCGTATGAAAGCGGATCCCAGGCATTATCCCAAGGAGATGATCGTAAGTTGGCCCTGGCCCTAGCTCTAGCCCTGATGAATCCGAATGAGGATCAAATGAATAATACGTACTTACGTGATCGCCACTTTGCAGCTGCGTATTTCAACACCACCGAGTCCACTCGACGTGCTGCGGACGCCCGAGTCCACCAGCACCACCGCGATCCCCAACTTTACGGACAACATCTCGGTGTCGGACCGTACCTCGAGCCCGCCGCACAGCCACTCTTCATCGTCAACTTCAAATGTTGTCGCTCGGATGTCTTCTACATCCAAGAGGGAACCGGCCTCCATGTCAATGTCGGTGACCTTGTCATTGTTGAGGCTGATCGAGGCACTGATCTCGGCACGGTTCAACATACAAATGTAACTTGGGAAGACGCTCGACGCTATAAAGAATATTATGCCGAGGAACATTATAAATGGTTGATGATGTTCTCCTTGCAAAGTCGAAACGGCGGACCCAACGTCGTCAATCCCAACGGCATTCCCGGTAGACATGGCAGCGCAGTAGGAGGAATGGGTCCCCAAGGTCATCATGGTCCTCACGACTCCTCTGGCCCCGATCTCAAGCCAAAGATGATCAAGCGTTTGGCCCAGAACCACGAAATTCAAGCACTGAAGGACAAAGAAGGCAATGAGGCTAAAGCAAAGCGGGTCTGTCAGCAAAAGGTTCTCGAGCACCGATTGAATATGGAGATTCTTGATGCCGAGTTTCAGATGTATGTCTCAAACCGGAATGTCCCGTAACGTATCACTAACACCGTCTAGGGACAGCAAGAAGCTCACATTTTATTACTTTGCTGACAACTACATCAATTTCAATCATCTGGTCACCGACCTCTTCAAGATCTACAAGACTCGGATCTGGATGTCTGCCATCAACCCTGCGTCTTTCCAGACTCCCACCGCCTCGCTTGGCATCCAGCCTGTCTATAGCACGGCTCCCGGTGACGAACGCCATCGGAGACGGCAGCAACAGGCACAACAACCCCACACCCTCGGTCACCAGGCCGTTACCACGCCATTCGGAGACACGTTCGACGCAGACCGAAACTTCAACAACCAGAATCAGGGAATACGCAATGCTTTCTATAATCAATTCCAGGATGTTGGGGCTGGACCCCAACAAATGCAACCGGGGGTATCACCGTTTGCTCCGAACATGCAAGGCCAAGTGGATCCCTTCCTGTCCTTTTACGGTCAACCGTTTCCCACCCTCAATCCTAATGCCCCTAATTTCGCTAGCAGCCGGCCCGACTTTAGAGGAAGAGCACCAAACCAACCCGGTGATGTCAACTGGATGGGACGATTCCAAGGTCTCTCGCTCGGTTCTTAAGTCAGGATATGGTACCTAATATAAAGGCAACGCACGACGACACTTCTCCAGAAACTTATTTCGGACGACTTCTTGCATATGATGACCGGATGACAAAACGTAGAAGTGGTGTTCAGCAAGATGAGGTTCAAGGCATTCACGGAAGGCAACTAGACCTGCGCTTTGGGGGGCGGGATGGCTGAAAGATAAGACTTGCTGATGAACGGGCTTCTGTGCTGGGATGCACTTTACACTCGATTTGGTTGAATTGTGACTCAAGATTTTTTGACATCAAAAATGTTGGTTAGGCTGGATTGGACAAAAGACCTTCGAAAAAATCAGATTGTTTATGGATTGCTGGATACAGAAAGATGAAATAATATCGACGCGAGAAAAAAGCCCGACATGGTGTTGGAGCTTGTGGGGCAGAACTCGAGATTGACCTGAGTGCAGAGTGCGCTGGATATCGAGCACTGGGGAACGTCCAAACTGCGGGCTGGCTTGTGTACTATAGCAACACCAGAGTGCTTTGGAAACCGATGACAACTTGACGGAGTCGATGATCATTGCTCACTAAAATCCCTGACATAGCCAGACGATGAGAGGGCGCTGTTCTACGTTGCAATTGCCTTGTGTGGTTTTTTTTTTGCCCCTGCCTCTGCACCGGAGTTTGACTTCGCTTCATCTCTCAGTCACTTCTACCACCACATCAACCTCCTCACTCCGTGTCTCTTCGTTGTGTCGAACGTCGACGCTCATTACACTCCCGCTGAGGGGTCGGAGATGTCGGGCACCACAGCCAACCCAGGTATTTGAAATTCATTCTGGATTCTTCGAGGCCAAGCAGGTGGCCCCTAACGCTGAGCAGCCAAGCCAGCCGCTCATTCAAGTTCACGGCGAAGCAGCACCAAGTCTCCGTTCAAAACAGTCCAGTTCGAGGATGAGACGGTTCTGTCGTCGGACGGATCGTCGCCAGTGAAAGCAAGCGGAGAACGCGGTGACAACGGCGCAGAAGATCTACCGTAAGTGACTGGTGAAGGCAATCGACATGGTTGACGCGAATGACCCCGGGCTAGTTTCAACCAAGAGAGGATGGACAAATTATGGGAGAAGCTCAACCAAGCCGACCCATGGCCGCGCCAGTTTGGGAATGTAGTTAAAGACAAGCAATCCTTCATTCGCCAGAAGTTGAGGGAAATTCAAGAGAAGAAGTTGACTTCACAGCTCCATTCGTTGAGTGCCATCGGCTAACACTCTCAGCACCTTGTACAAGCAATCGTTCGATGCAGAGATTGCACCGCTTCTCAGTTCCGCTCTTGGAAGTTTCGCGAGTGGTGGGCCCAAGGATTCTACTTCTTTTACACTGCCAATTCACGTTCAATTTCTGGGAGCGGAAGGGCAGGCGTACTGCGACGCCATGGTCAACCTCATGAAGCAGTCAGGCGCACTTATATTTGCATACGACGAGCTCGCAGGTCGACCATCGCATACATCGCGTCTCCAGGAGACTGGGGCATCCTTTGAGAAGGACAAGGGAGTTAGCGTGGCCACCATCGAGGCCGGCAAAAAGATCGCAGGCATGGAGATCGAGAAACTTCTTGCGGACAGGTTCCAAGAAGTCAGGGATCTGCATAGCCTGACAGGCGAGGAGGAACAAAAGGGAAGATTACTTCTGTCACATGGAACGGACAAGCAAGAGGCGGCTTTGAAGCAGACACTGGGATGGGGAAATGTTGCCAGGGACACGGAAATGGCGATCGAGAGACTCTGTTTTGCGGGACAAGTACAGGCGAGTGAGCGCTGATGCTGATGCTGATACTGCGTCTTGCAACCGCGACGTGTGAGGAAAACATGCCATTCCTATGTACGTACCAGGGTTGCTTGTATCGTGTACGCAGTAGTTGTATGGAATATCGAGTACCGTGTCGACGAGAAGCGGTTGAGGCACTAATACCCAGTAGCGACAAAGCCGACTCGCCGAGTGAATGGAGCCAGCTTCTGATTGGCCAACGCGAGTGCCAAGGTTGCAGTTTTGCCAAGCCTGCGCACGAACTTGGTCGTCGAAAAATGAGAGCCGATTTAGTCCTCAATTCTCAATCCCAATACGTTCTCTTTTCCACCACAACCATTTCCTGCGAGGCGCGACAGTCAAGGTAAACGAACTTACCAGGCAGACGGCCGTGTCGATAGCTGACCATTCTTCGTAGATGGGTGCCCTCAAATACGTCGAAGAGCTTCAGAAGAAGAAGCAGTCTGATGTCCTTCGATTCCTTCTCCGAGTCCGCTGCTGGGAGGTAAGGTGCTCCCCGAGATGACGATGGAACCGACAAGAGGAGGTGTTGTTGAAAACACACATACACCCCCTCTTCGGTCTTCACCACCTTGTGGCACATTCTCTTCTGGAGTTGTGTCTTGCTATACACTCGTTGAACATGTTAGCTGAGAGTGCATAATATAGCTCCGACAATTGAACGTCATCCACCGCGCCTCTCGCCCTTCTCGACCTGACAAGGCCCGTCGCTTGGGCTACAAGGCCAAACAAGGCTATGTCATCTACCGAATTCGCGTGCGTCGCGGTGGTCGCAAGCGACCTGTGCCGAAGGGTGCCACCTATGGTGAGAACAAGGCCGTCCCGGATCCCGCCACAAGCCCATGTATCAAATCCTGACGGTGTAATGTGCAGGCAAACCCACCAACCAGGGTGTGAACCAACTCAAATACCAACGTTCCCTCCGCTCCACTGCCGAGGAACGGGTTGGTCGCCGCTGCGCCAACCTGCGCGTCCTCAACTCGTACTGGATCAACCAGGACTCTACCTACAAGTACTACGAAGTCATTCTTGTTGACCCCAACCACAAGGCTATTCGCCGTGATGCGCGGATCAATTGGATCGTGAATCCTGTCCACAAGGTAAGTATCTACACCTTCTCTTGCAAAGGATCAGGGCACCTACAAGGGGATATTGTGTTGCTGACTGATTTTGATTAGCACCGAGAATCTCGTGGTCTCACTGCTACGGGCAAGAAGTCTCGTGGCTTGGGCAAGGGCCACGGTTACACCAAGACAACCTCTGGACGGAGAAAGACCTGGAAGAGACACAACACCCTCTCGCTCTGGAGATATCGCTGAAGGACAGGCGCTCGATCTCTTTAATATGATGCTTCTGGTGTGCATGGAAATGGTACGCAGTGTGGATGATCATGGCACGATTTTGCGAACATTGCATATGCTACGGGTGATGATCAGGGGTCTCGGGACCGTGCTGACGGGTCTGGTCCTGAAGACGGAGATAGCCACAAGACTTCAAAGACCATGGCCGAGCCTGCCATCTGAAATGCAGGAACGACCTTGCAGGAAGGCTTTCGCAAAAGTGTTTCGTTTTGTGTGAGGGCCTGGCAGGGAGAAGCTTCTCGAGAAGTCTCATTCGCATGTATCATGCATGGATGTGAACGAGTCCTTTCAAATAAGCGGATGAAAGGGTAAAAGAACAAATCTTTCTTGCGAACAGAAAGCCTCCTCTTCAATGTGAAACCCCTGTCGAGCCGTGACAGTGACGGCCCACAAACTTTTTCGCACAAATTCCATCCCCGCAACCGATCTTTCTTTTTCCCCGCAGAAATATTTTGACTTGTCACCTGACTTTCCGTCCTCCCTGTTTCGATGGCTCTGACATTCCGTCCCATCTCCCTCCCTCTCGTGATAAAGGGATCTCTAGCGGAACAGATTGCTTGGGTCTCTTGATTTCTTATTGCGACTCAACTCAATTCAACTCGCAGTACAGGGCCGACTTCCGCGAGCTCGACCGTCCAAGGCCCCCAAGGAAGGAAACGACTCCAAGGACACTTCCTGTCCAGCTTCAACTACCTCAGAACTCACTCTCTTTTTGCCTTGGTACCCTCGAACCGCACCAGTCGGTCACTCGAACCGCACGATGCCGTCTACCACGACAACCGCCGCGGCGGCCGCGACGACCCTCAGTCTCACCGGCGGCGGGACCTCCTCTTCGGCCAAGGCCGCCGAGGACCTCGACATCTACGACGAAATCGAGATCGAAGACATGACCTACGATGCCACACTGCAAATATACCACTACCCTTGTCCCTGTGGCGATCGGTTCGAAATCTCGATCGATAGTCTGAGAGAAGGGGAGGACATCGCTGTCTGTCCTAGTTGCAGTTTGATGGTGAGGGTGATTTTCGACCCGGAGGATTTGGAGGGCGCAGAGAAGGAGGGGAATTGACGGAAAGGGCTTGTTGTGAAAAGAAGAACAATGACTCGAGAAGATAGTCCAGCTGGGTGGATGGGTATGCGATGAGAGATGTTGGATGCGTTGCCGTTTGCCGTGCCGGCCACCCACCGTGCGCCCATTGATGAGCACGCTCCATGCCGGGTGGCGCTCTCGCTGGAAGCATAGGCGAGACATCCCACCACGTCATCCTCGCACCACTGAGGCCCGCGGATACAGAGACGACTACTGCTCCGTGGTCTCGACACACATGAGCCGGGGGACTTGCCGTCCTGAAAGCACTTCCTTCCAACAGCCCTTTTTGCAACACTGCTTGTGTGGATGCCCTATCGCATACTGCACGAGAAGATGTGCTCTTGAAATTCTGGAGGTCGGCTCAGGCTGGAGTTGGTCACACCGAGGCCTGTTCTGAGACTACAAGAAAACGTCGCCGTCGAATGCAGTCCCAAATTCGCACTGTCTCTGCCTCTGCCTAGCTTGGGCAAACTAGCCATGTCGGCAGCACCTTCTAGTGTGTTGGAAAGCGGATGTCGGACACTCGAGTTGGAAGATAATGCCGCAGATTGTTGAGAAGAACCAGCCCAGGGCGACGGATTCAGCGGCGGCGTCTGCATACCCGTCATGCGCTTGGTGGGAAAGACTACATCAGTCGGGGGGCCAGGGGGAGACATTCACCCATTCATCGGCCAAACCACTCATACCCTCTCCACAATCAGTGGAGCTAGCTGTCGGAACTGCTTCTTCGTCATTCTGCTCTTGGTCCTTGTCCAACTCCTCGTCTTGGGAGGATAACACACTGGGATCAAAAGGCCCACAACGGCATCTGTTCCCAGGAATAAGGAACAAGGAGGTCCCTCAAGCTACACGACGCATCATACCACATACACACACACTTGCCGCGTTCCGCACAGGGCGTTCTCTGCTCAACCAGCGGAGGGGAGATAGAACAGAAGCGTGGATAACGAAGCTAAGCTAAGCTCAGGTTAACTCACGCCCCATCCATTATTCCAGGAGATACCGACTATACTAAATGATGATCATACTCGACCTCTATATGGTTTTCGTTTCAAGCCTTGTCGTTCTTTCCCAACGGGTTTGCCGGTGCATGCCCTGCAACACCCAGCATGGCGTGGCTTGTATGGCAGCGAATGCGGAGTACGTAGTGTCGACGTGCATGTCTAGATGGATTGGTCATTGATCGCTGAGGCACCGATCATCGATGATTGATTATTGTAATATCTGTGATCGATACCATCCGCCCCGAGCGGTTTCGCGCCCTCACCTCGGGTTGAAATCTCGATTGTTTCACATCCATGTGGTACATCTGCATAGATTCCGGATATATTTCTTTTTCCTTTTCCGTTTCTTTTGGTGTAGGCGACGGACCGACCGGTCGACAGCCCACTACGCCCAGCCCTTTCCCCTCTAGCCAAATCCAACAAGTGACGCTTGAGTGGATTCAATGATTAAAGGTGGTCCGCCTTCTCGCTCTTCCCCAGAAGTCTACCTCCCGGTCGTCTGCTTCCGAGCCCAGCACGAGTCTCATTCTGGGGTCTGGCCAGCCATGAACACTTTCTCCGCGACAGGCCGGTACTCGAGCCCCCAGCCCGGGGTGGGCGAGGGTTCGGCGCCCATTTTGCAGATGCGGATGCTGCGGATCGTGATGTCTCGGGCCCATATGAAAGGGGTTTGAATCTGAGGCGATTGCTCGCTTTTGGTGCCCGTTTTATCGGTAGGATTTGGCGATAGCGCTGGATCTAGGGTTTGATTTCCAGTCGTCACGCCCTCGGCAGGATTGGTTTGGCGAATGGTCCTGCTCATCATGGTGGGCGCTGCTGGTTCGTCTCCTCTGTCATTAACCTCGGCAGGAGCACTTCTTGGTGGTGGTGATGATGCTCTTCGATTTTGGTTCCCGTTCGGGTTTGGCCCATGGTTGAAAAACCTCAAAATCTCCCTGGCGTCCACATTCCCGCCGTCTTCGGCCTTCTTGTTTCCATTCCTTCCTCTTCCTCCCCGACCTTTTCCGCTCCCCTTTCTGCCCTTCACATAGATTAGATTGGCGACCGTGGCATGCAGAACCAAAGGTCTAGTCTCCGTGACGAGGCCCGCTTCCCGGAAAACGTCGCGGACCAGGTTCCCAAACCGGTGCAGACGAGCAGTGGGATCATGAGGGTGCGCAAAGAAGACGCGGGCTGAGCGAGACGAGGGGAAGGTGCCAAGAGAGGACAGAGATACGGATATGGGTTGTGGAGGGTCTAGCTCTCCGAAATCTTGTGTCAACGTCGAAGGTGCAGAGACCGCTGGTGGCGAGATTTCTCGGGATAGGGACTTGAGTGATTGAAGGGGAGAAGACGGGACTGCTCCGACCTGCCTTGCTGTCTCTCGCAGCTTCCCACTATCTTCTGGCGCGTGGTTCGATGTAGCGGTTGACAGCTGTGGATTGTCGGTCTCTTGCAGGTGCTCGGAATCGGCCTGTTCTTCGACAGTGGAAAGAGTTTCGACATCGCGGTGGGCACCACTATTTTGATTTTGATTTCCTTTGGTGGCCGATAGGCTTTCTGCCTTTTCCTGCTCCATTGGCGGCATTATGTTCTCTGCAGCTGAGAGCAGCCTTCCAGACTCCCCTTCCCGCTCGGATTGCGTCTCGTCCCTAGCTTGCGTCACTTCGTTCGAGTCTCCGCCTATTCCACCTTTCGGTGTTTTCTTAACCCTTCTCCCTCGCCCAAACTTGTGGGCCTCGTTCCCCTCTCCAGATTCCGCTTGCCTCAGTAGTTCCACGTAGTCAATTTCCTGCAATAACGCCACCGCCTTCTCCAAATGCTCCGCGTCCGGAAGATGCATTGTCCCTAGGGTCAAATGGAAAGTCCCTGGCGGACGATGCGCCGACTCTGGGATGACTCTCACTGCTTGATCCACATCCCGACCCCGTATTTCGTTGTTGGATTGCTCGGGTGCGGCGGGCTCAGCATTGGCTTCTCCTCCCCCAGCACCTTCCTCAGGTGTCACATCCCGGTTTGCAGGAGGCAAAGGCGTGGTGAGTGATCTAAAGTATGCCAGAGATTTAGAGAGCTGTGCCACTGATTCATCACTGACTAGAGGAAAGCAGACAAAGTGCGTGGGCTGCTTGTTGTGTCGAGGGTTTATCGGTTTCTTTTCCAACAGCTTTTTACTCGGTGCTACTGGGGCTTGCAGCGTTGATGCTGGTTGGCTTGGTTGAAGTCCCAGTTGTGCTTGCCCGGATGGGGGAGTTGTTGGTGGTTCCACAGAAGTCATGATGGTGGCAATTGTTGATGGTACAGTCGACGTTGAAGATCTAAGTCTACCAGAGTCTGCTATGGCTTGACGATGCAATATCCGAAGAAGAAAGGCGGTGCGCATTGATAATGCAAACAATCAGACGAATACTCAATCATCAAAGGGGCACTTCTCGTCACCGGCACCTTGTTGGCTCAATCGAATTCTTGGGTTCTGGTTATATTGCGAAGACTGAAAAATAGGAGGCGCTTCCCTACCAAAACATTCAGAGCTGAATTCGGAACGACGGGCTATTTCATGATGGATAACAGATGATACAGGCAGCCAGGCAAGGAACGACAGTTCGCAATGAGTAGATGAGACAGGATCATTTGGGCTAAGGTTGTGTTTTAATTAGGTTATTGCTCATGCTTGATTGGGCATAGTGGACTGAGACTACAGCCTCGTCAGCCTCGTCAGCCCTCAAGTTAATGTTGGCGAGGCGCCCGGCCCCCTTTTTTCCCGCCCATGTGGCTCGACAGCCGACAGTGTGCGCCAATGGCTGTTTATTACCAAATAATCAGATCTTCTTCTGATAGAAAACCCTTCTGCCTCCCTCAGATTCCATTAGCATTATCACCCAGCTCTTTAGTGTAGTTTGATCGCGTTCCTCAAACGTCAAAGAGACAGTCCAACCAGGCTGGAAGCCCGGGTCTCTATTGCAACCATGCCGCCTACCCTTGACAACCAGCCAGCGGAAAGAAGGTCTCAGTCGGGGGAGAGATCAGCGATGATGTGCTAACCTTCTTGATGCGTGGTATATTGGATAATTGGAGGAAGAAGATTCGCGTTTGCTGAAGACAAAAAAAGGCACCCTGGAAACCCTTGACTGACAGGCAAGGAAAACATTCCTTACCTTGGATAGTTGAATCTACAAGGCCACTTGCCACCGACCTCAGGCTGGGTGAGGTTTGAGAGGGACTTGGAATCGCCCAGGAGCTTACCTGCCCAGGAGAGTACTTCATCTTGGTCATTCTTCTGGTCCATCCAAAGGACATCTCGAATTTCTCCGCTCGCTGTCATCGCAGCGATCTTGCGATATTCAATTCGACGCCCTGTCCCATAGACATGCTGCCGCGAGTGATTGCGGAAAAGGATGATGTTTTGTCTTTAGGGAAGCAAAGAAGAATGTTGGCTCCCTCATAAATTGATCGCATTGGGGAGCGCATCCCGTCCAACAGCTTCGCCATGCTGAGATGGCGATCGCCGCAGATGTTGTGATACTTATCGGAACTTTGCCGTCTGCAAAGTGGGTGCCCTCTGAATTTCTCACAGCGCCAAATAGAACATTGCGTCCGAAGGTTACACCAGCTACTCGCAGGCCTATATTTTGAAGCGATGCCCTTGGCAGCCTGAATCAGTGGACCGACATTTCTAATAACTTTGTTCTCAGAAGGATGGGAAGGAGATGAATGAGCCCCCACTGATGTCGGCGGTTACATTCAAGAGGCTTTACGCCGGTACCTCTCACACAAGGGTTATCTCCTTCCTTCATGATTCGACGACATTCGACGACAGCGGCGTGAAATCTCTCCTCCTGCACATCGATAGGGCGAGATGCGGGGGTCCTTTGAGTCTCGGAGGTTGACTCTGAAAAGTCGGCTGCCAGTTGCTCGCGTCTTCCAGATCCTGAATGCCACTACGCAACTTGCTCGACCCACTACCACAAGCAGTTCAGGCAAACCGAGTCGCTCCGGGAAAACAAAAGCCCAGCAGTCTCCATGTCTGTCCGCCCTTAGGGAGTCCACAAGTTGTGCATTCAACTCGGTCCGCAAAGCTAGCTTTCCAATCTTTTCGCCTGCCTGCGCGGAGCTCAAATGGCGGCTTGGTGCAGTGGGATCGAACCAGAGTCGCAGCAACATAGTCTCCATGTTGAGAGCCAGTTCCTTGTTATCTTAGGTCCCGGTGCTCGAAATAACAGCTTCCGCCGAGGACACACCTTGTATCTTGTACGTCCAGGGCTGGGATTCTACCTCTAGCGCTCTTGTTGACAAGTTGTGCTGGCAAGAACTTGCGGGCGCTGTTTCTCAAGAATTCTGTCAGTTGACCATATTACAGTATTTTGGTCGCAATGAAGCCATAAAATGTCGACCAATCTTGATCATCACCATTTTTGCACCTCTTTTGAATTTTGGCTGCAAGAGTGAACAGCATTCCGCGCCAGAGGACGCGTAAGAAAAGCGTTAATTCTCAACACAGATGCACCAAACCATGTAAGGCTTCGGGCGCATAGTACGGTCTCAAGGTACACCAAATCGCCGTCTACCGTTCATTTATCCCCTGGAAACGGACAAAAGCAGACCTCCAATCGATGAAATTGACCAATGTGAATGTTCGCCTGGCATATTATCAATGGGAGCGCCATGGGTTTATTAAGGACATGGATGTCGCAACGACCTAGTCAATCCACTGATTTCAGAGGAATTCATCCGATACGCTGACTAGCTGTCTCTTGTTTTGGTTCATCCAGCGGTGATCAAGCACTATATTTTCCACCTATGCCGCAGGTCCAAAGCATACGAACACCAAGGTCTGTATCACATAATATTCTTCATGATTCCTAATCATTAGGATTTGAAACCATGCCGCTCAAGTTGATGAGTGAATGGGGAGCAAATTTTTATTCGGCCAACCACCGTGCATTCAGACAGGTCCACTCTTTGACAGCCAACGCCATAAGTGTGGAACCAAAGCCAAAGAGCCCATCAAGGCTCTATTATATTGGACATGACCTACATTGAAGCTCACTTGACAAGCCTAGATAATGGCATTTACCCCTCGCATGGTCTATAATTTCGACTATCGATCATGATTATGGCGTTGCAGCGGAGCGGCCCTCTTCTGTGCTATGGGAAAGGTTAGTCGATTCGGTACCGTCAAGTAGAGAGTCTGAGCTTACGGCTTTTGATATTCAAGAAGGGTCGAATCCCAATTGCCCATGGACTCATCGGGTCCATGCACGTATGTCGCGTTCAACCTTTTGCAAGTGACCGTTTAGTTATCCCCATTATTTACACCGGCAATACCATCATGCCATGGATAAGATCAATGTCGATCAAATAAAGCCACTTGGGGATGTCTCGTGCAGCAGGTTTCTGTATCAGACCCATAGCAGTTCATATTTCGGATAGAAGGATGGATTCACCAAGTCTGGTGTGAAGTCTCACATCAGGCGAAATAAGGTTGAGGGACTGAAGAGATCACGGCTTGCCCATCGGCAGATACGAATTAGACCTCGTCCAAGTACCGGAGGCTGGCTAGAGATGGCCCTGCAGTCGGATTGAGTATGTACAAACGCTGCTTCAACAAGCTGCCTTGACAGATCCACTGTGTTTAGGGCGCGGATTCAGCGAAATCCCCATCAACTGTTCCCACCAGCATTATTGAGTCAAGCTCTACCTCAGAAACGAACTACGGCATCGAGTTTTCGAGGGCACCGGTCCCAGTGACGGTCCTGAACTCGGGGATCGACGACCCATTAGATGCGGCCGCTATAGACCTCGATAGGTTTGTCTGCCATTTGATCGCGTTCATCAGCAGCTATCTCTCGGTAGATGCCAGACTCCTGCTGACACGGCGTGGTTTGAAATGATTGGGTCTTTGATAGCTATTAAATTCAGTCTAGCCAGTTTCCTCGCTTTGGGTGCGATTATGAAGCCTACATATTCAGGGTTCTCACAGCATCGCAAACGTGCGTGCCCTGCAGCTGAAGGCTCTGTCGTACAAAACCACTGCTCTGGAAACGCGATGCCAACATCTTGAATCTAACCAACCAGACTTATCCGTCTTGTTCGCTTCTTTGCATCTTATGCCGCTAGAAATGTACGCATTCGATGGAGAGATGACAAAATTGCACCTTCGAGCGTTAACCAAGATCTTCGTGCTGTTACTTTCATTTTCCGTAGTTCCAGGTGCCAAATACGAATACTTCATCATATCCTCAACGTGCGACATTGCTAGGGGAAGTCTCCGCTCTTATGGAAGCGCACGGTGAATCGTGGCTTGATGTTCGTGCTCTTTGCGGCAATGGCTTGGGGAACGAGGTTGATCATCTACGAGAAGTATTGCAAGTGAACCAAATCAGGAATGAGAAGCTCGATAACGCACAAAAGCATGACGATGTTTATCGATGCATCCAACGGAGATTCAACAGCAGTTATGGTCGCTTGCACCGTCTCCGAACGGCTCCGCTGCAATCACTGACGCACGCTCGCGAAGTCGTGGACGATGCTAAGCACGCAACCCTATCCCGAAACTCCTGCTTCGACCCTGCTCAACCTGACCCACACCGCCGTGGAATGAGAGTGGCTGATGTTTGTCTCAAAATCTTGTTGGTGAGGCTCTTGGGCAGGGACCATGCAATTCGTCACCCACAATACACAACAAGGATTCAGACGGCGAAGGGGAGGCGATCCTTTTCCTTTGGGCTGCGGTGAGGGGCGCCGTGGGCCACCGCATGCAGTTGACCTGATCGTCAGCAAAGCTGAAGGGCTTCGGTTTCAGGGTCCGCCAGATGATGGATATTCCCGGCTTGACTACGTTTGCAGAGGGGCCTCAAGTGTGTGGGAGAGTTCTTTGGGCTGACGATCTCATGGGCGCCATGCTGAAAGAACTTGTGTTTATATTGGAAAAGTTAGAATCCAAATATGTCGTCGATTTGCGATGGCGATTGTGTTATCGTCGTCTTCCTCGTCCTCGAAGCTTCTTGCTTGTTGCGCATAGCTCGTTCACTGCCCATACTCAACCCCCTTTTCTTGGCGCCCCTTTTATTTCCTAGCCTTATGCTTCAACCACCAGGCCAGGTCATCTCACTAGTGTCTCCCTTGCTCGAGCACAGACAACAGCATTGTCCTGCTCGTTCGTGGATCGGGGAGTCTATTGATGACGGCGGCTTGATCGCGTTCGGAGATGGTGCATTTACACGAAGTCTCTCTCCCTGTGGCACTCTGCGAGCATCTGACGGAAAACATACTTCAATCTCTGTCCTGTCGAAGCACCCTGGGGCCGTGTCTCTTGTCTTTCTAGATCAGAGGGTTCGGGACCATGCTGGCCTCTGCCGCCGTCAACCTCCACTTTGCCAGATTGGAATGCCGTTTAGGGGGCCCTTTTGCAACAAAAGATGCAGATAGTTTGGGAGGTATAGCTGTTGTATGAGCTACCCTCGCAGATGATGGCAGGAAAAGTTTATAAGCCTGATGGCGTTGTCAGTATATGGATGCGCGAGGCTCAATGCGCCAGGAACGACTGGGAAAGTACTGCCACTTTCGACAACGTTCAAGCGCATCATCCGCGAATGAGCTTCTGTAGAAGCTCGACTTCCCATGCAGTTGCTTGGTCTTCCTGCGCCCGCAGCATCGTTGCCCCGTCGAGACTCACCAGGCTGAAACGGCCTCGCAATTGCTAGGCCAACACCACTGTCAATCAATAACTTGAGGGAGACGTGCGAGAAGCTGAACAAGGATTTAACCCGACTCGAGCTCATACGACTTCGAGGGCACGCGATGCGACGAGAAAGCCCATTCTCATGGCCGCCATCTCAGTTTCACCATCTCATCTTCATTTTGAGCATCTATTCGGGGTATCTATCTGTTGAAGAAGCTGATGAAGCTTCTGCCATTGTCCGTTGAAGGACGTCTCTTCCCTCTGATCTCCGATCGGTAATCTCTCCCCCCAGTTTCTCGTACCAGCACTTTCGAAACAAGGATTCTAAGCACCCCGTTATTCTAGGGGTCTTGATCGTGTCCCAAACTTTTCAGTCCCGTCATTCTCGTCACAAGGTCGTTGAGTTTCGTGCATAATTCCTGTTGTGGACAAAAAGGGTCAATATGACCGTGCGCTGGAACTCTCCATTTCTATGCGTTGAGCATTAGAAAACCTTCTCTCCTGAAAAAGACCTCAGGCGCCGATACATATGCAGTCATTCAAAAGCCAGGCAGGTAGCCCTCGACGAACATCAAACCGTCTAGTAGCGGTAGATGTCAGACTTGAAGGGGCCTTCGACAGTCAAGCCCAAGTATTCGGCCTGAACAGGGGTCAACTTTGTCAACTTGGCGTTGACATGCTCCAAATGGAGCAGGGCAACCTGTTCGTCCAGAATCTTGGGAAGAACGTAGACACCGATTTCCTTCTTGCCGCCCTTTCCAAACTCGACGTATTTCTTGCCGAATTCCTCGTCTTCGGCCTTGTACAGCATAATCTGAGCTAGAACTTGGTTGGAGAAGGAGCAGGACATGACGAAGGAAGAGTGGCCGGTGGCACAGCCCAGATTGACGAGACGACCCTCGGCGAGCAGGATGATGTGGCGTCCGCTGGCCATCGTGTAGCGGTCAACCTGAGGCTTGATGTTCTGGACGGATTTAGCATTCTTCTTGAGCCACGCGACATCGATTTCAATGTCAAAGTGCCCGATGTTGCAGACGATGGCGTCGTTGCGCATCACCTCAAAGTGTTTTCCAACAATGATGTCGCGGCAGCCCGTGGTGGTGACAAAGATTTGACCCTGGGGGGCGGCCTCGTCCATGGTGACCACCTGGTACCCGGTGACGGCGGCCTGGAGGGCGTTGATGGGATCCACCTCGGTGACGAGAACACGGGCACCCATGCTGTGGAGAGCTTGAGCACAACCTTTTCCAACATCGCCGTAGCCTGCCACAACGGCAACTTTGCCGGCGATCATGACATCCGTGGCCCGCTTGATCCCGTCGACGAGAGATTCTCGGCATCCGTAGAGGTTGTCAAACTTGGATTTCGTGACGCTGTCATTGACATTGATGGCAGGAACGAGGAGCTTCTTGCCTTTCAGCATGCGGTAGAGGTGGTGGACTCCAGTTGTGGTCTCCTCTGACACCCCGTAACAGTCTTTCAGCATCTCTGGGTATTTGTTGTGGACAAGGGCGGTCAAGTCACCGCCATCATCGAGGATGAGATTCAGTGTTTTCCCTGACGGGAAGGCCTTGAGTTGTTGTTCCAGGCACCACTCGTACTCTTCTTCAGTCTCGCCCTTCCATGCGAAGACGGGAGTGCCTCCAGCAGCAATTGCTGCCGCAGCGTGGTCTTGTGTGGAGAAGATGTTGCAGGACGACCAGGTCACCTCAGCCCCGAGAGCTTTGAGGGTTTCGATGAGGACGGCGGTCTGGATGGTCATGTGAAGGCAGCCAGCGATTCGAGCGCCAGCAAGAGGTTGGTCTGCAGCATACTTCTTTCTGATTGCCATCAGACCGGGCATCTCAATCTCAGCGAGGTCGATCTCGCGTCGGCCAAAGGCCGCCAACGAGATGTCGGCGACCTTGAATTTCTGGGCTGGAGCACCGCTCATGATGACGGTATCGTTAGAGGCAGGGGAGATGGCTGAGGAAACGATTGTCGGGTGGTGCGGGAGGTCAGAGAAAAGTGAGTGACACTGAGGAGGCGGTGGTGACGGTGAGGTGAGGGTGAATTGTCGGTGACATTTTTTTTCCCACCCTGCAAAATCTCGAGGGCGGAAAAGGCCCAAAAAGGCCCAAAAAGGCCCCTCCCGAACAACACGGATTCATCCCACTCCCCATCACCACCCACCAATCACTCACCAATCACTCACCAATCACTCGCCAACCTCTACTTGTTCCATCGTGGGGTAACGCATTCCAGACCAGCGAGATTCCAACTGCCGCAGCGTGGATTTGTGCTCCTTGTTCGGTTGACGCCAGCCACGAGCCAGCCGAGGATGGTATGATCACGGCATCAGTCAATCTGCATCAGATCCCTCCCACATATAATGGATTGACTCCCCCCCAAGATCGATGGACGCTATCAATCTCCTCTCTATCTGCCTTCCGGGTTGCCAACATGGGCATAAGGGCGGTCCATCTGGCCATCTTGCCGCTATCGGTGAGTGTTCTGATCACTCGAAGCCCCCGTGATTTTTTGCCTCGATTAGGAAACGAAATGGCAATGTCCTGCCCGTCCCCCTTGCTGCCTCTCGCGCTCTTGTCGTGTCTGCAGCTCGCACAATGTTCCGTCCTTCCACGCGCAGCGTTTGTCGATGTTCTCTAGCCAGATGTGCGGGTAACGAGAGGGCTGCCCGAGGGTCTGAGTGCTGCGGTCAGAGACGGCAATGCACTGTACACGTGGAAGTCAGCCAGAATCGCCGCTGGAGTCTTTGAGCGGCAGACTGCATCCCACTGCAGATGGACTCCAGTAAGTGCATTAATGGCCTTTGCCTGATCTTCTGACCGCCATATACTCCTCAACCTGGGACCCTATGTTTGCGTTCTCCCTGCTTTGATCCTTTTGTATCTACACTCGATCCAAGGCGGCGGTTCCTTCCTTTGCCATAAGCCTCAATTGCGTGATCAGTTCCGCATTTCACACAATACCACCTCCAGGAGAGCTACCATCATTCAGTTATTTTTCCTGCTTTCCTACATTGATTTATCCTGTCCTGCTAAACTTCTCACAATATCCTTGCTGTCTCCCACGACATCCGCAATTTGGTGGAAGTTGGGATTCAATTCCAAATGGCACCCGCTCAGCCTAGCCAAAAGCCAAAAGCGAAGGAGGACATCAACATGAGCGCGCACGATCCCGGCACCTCGAACAAGATCCACGGGCTGTCCGCTGAGGTCTCCATCGAACATCAACCACATCAAACCGAGTGCGAAAGCGGTCCGGACTCCGCTCGCTTGCTAACAGTTTCCCCATATCTGGAACCAGAACATCTCCTAGATCTGAACACCCTCGACACTCCCAGCCGGCTTCTTGCTCTTGCATCGACGCAACTGGAGCCGGCTTCAGGCAAATACGCCACAGTCCCATATGAAGACGCGTTCGATTGGAGCAGTCTCATGGCAACTTTGAAGTCGCTTGCAGCCAAAGAAGCATACCGGTGGACGCGGCAAGAGTTCTACGCTGTCGAGTTCAGGTCCAAGCTCAGGAGGAACATCGACGTTGACCTCTTGTTCAAATTAGACAAGGAATCCCACATCGAAGCGACACAGAGTGGAGGGCTTCTAAAGTACTGGTACGGCGTACCTGACATGGATAGGAGGAATCTGGCAACCTGTGAGTGAGCTCAACGAACCTTCAAGATGCGAGGCCTGACAATCTCCTAGGCTTCTGGCGGAATAAGGAAGACGCAGTCAAAGGCGGTCGAGGGCCATGGCATAAACAGGCTCGGGCTGCTATTTCCAACATGTATGAAGAAATTGATGTGAAAGGACTGCGCTTTACCATCGAAGACGACGTGGGAAGCTGGAGATTTTCTCCATATGCTTGACATCGAAAGCGCCCAGCAGCCGCTTCGCATCAACAGGAAGGGATATGGGCAGGTTCGTAGTTGGGACTGACTCTTGCGGAGTGGGTGGTGATTGGGTTTTCGAGCGTCGGCGCAGTAGTCGTTCGAGTTGTTCAGGGTTAAAAGCTCCGGTTATCGTCAGTGTGACATAGACTGCTTCAATGACAATTTCAACACCCGTACCCTCAGTCCTTTTGACATCTCATCACAGTGGAAGGAGAGGTGTGGTGAGAGAGCGGTAAGGACACGAACCAAAGCTCTCTAGTGCCGAGACCATTGATCCCCGATTGGGACTAGTTCCATCCTGCGATTGACGAGCTTTCTTTTCCACCCTCATCGTTCAATCCAAAGCTCCAGCAAGTCCCGATTTCACCAGACTCTCCGCTCTCAGGCTTCAGTCTTCTCCTTTGCAGGTCAAAATCTTGACATCGTCTCTCCCACCTTCAAGATGATGCCCTCCAAGCTGATGCGGCCAGCTTTCGCAGCTGCCCGTCGGACAGCCCCCAGAACAGCTATCCGAACATACGCTGCTCCGGCCGCTGTAGACACAAAACCCCCGGTACCTTTGTTTGGCCTCGACGGGACTTACGCAAATGCTCTGGTATGCTCAGTCCAGTGTTTCAATGCAAAAGGTGGACTTTGGATCTGGGCGCAGCTGTGGTGAACTACCGCTTCCGCGGAAGTCAGAAGATCAGGGATTCGAGGATGTCTCATGGAGAGAATTTCAAGCTGACGCTCCATGCTCAATAGTATACCGCCGCCGCCAAACAGGGCTCCTTAGAGCCGACGGCCAAAGCTCTCAGCAGTCTGGAACAGATCTTCAAGACCGACGCCAAACTTCCCCAGATCCTCGCTGCTCCCACACTTTCCGATACCGATAAATCACAGATCATTGCAGAACTGGAAAAGCACACCGGAGCCGCGGACAAGACTAACACGGTCAAGAATTTTCTACAAACGCTGGCGGAGAACAACCGGTTGAGTCTGCTTGAGGGAGTGTGCGAAAAGTTTGGTACTCTGATGAGTGCGGCGAGAGGAGAGATAGAGTTGGTTGTGACGAGCGCGTCGGTATGTCCAAACAACATAGGATGCACACACTGCGGCTATGGAGACTGAAAACCGTACCTGGAAACACTGTTGGGCGCATGAAAACTAACACTAGTGGGTCACAGAAACTCGACGAGAAACTCCTGCGCCGACTTGAAACCGCCATCGCCAAATCCGAGTACAGCCAAGGTAAGAAGTTGAAGGTGGTCACAAAAGTCAACCCAGATATCCTCGGTGGGCTCGTCGTCGAGATTGGCGAGCGAACTATTGACCTCAGCGTTTCGAGCAAGATCGCGCGGTTGAACAAGATGCTCACTGAGACTGTGTAAAATTATCCTTGATCACTGGGACTTGTGGAATGCGAGGTGAGGCCGAGGGCTTGACTGGTGAGGAAGGCACATTTGGGCCACAAAATCAGCATCTTGCGAAAGGTGGGAAGCGAGAGAGACACTAGACAAGCGGCAGGGGGCGGTCGTGTATATAACCAACCAATCCAGTTCTTTCGTCCTGGCCACATTGGAATCACTTTCAGCTTCTATTTCCCTCGCATTACGGAACAGACAGGAGTATTGCCATCTGTGTCTAACTACATGTACGCAGGGAGCACCCCGACACCGGGCGCCTTCATCGGTACGCAAGCCTTCCTTTGTGACTCGGTGAATGCTCTGGGCTAATTGCAATATGTCAATCGCCCAAGGTTGCCTCCCCAGATTCTTCGGTTTGTTCAACGCCTACGCTCCTGTTCGCTGCGTCGGTGAATTTTTTTTTTCTGGGATGATCACAATCAGACGAATCAAAAAGGTCGATGAGCCCAAGAGACGGTCTCACACCATCAACCTTCGACGTGCCCATGTCTGTCATTGCAAACCGCAGTTGGCAAAAAAAAGAGACAGACTCAAAGCATGAAAGGTGACCAGCAACCGAGATATTTGTGACGACGCTGGTGGCAGTTGAAGACGCCTGGTCCTGAGCTCCTACTCTCCCATTCTTTTGGCACGATTTTAGGAAGAAAGTCTTCTTGACTGACGAACCTGTGACTTATATGAACATGTCAACCTCAAAGGCAGACGGATAAAGTCCCCGTCTAGAGGAATTCGAAAACTGGTTCTTCCCGTCCTGTGTCAACGGATCAATTCCATATATCGACTAACGATTTGAGAAAGGCAGAGTCTTATCAGGGCCCTGTGGGCCTCCCACGGAGAACATAAACCAGTGCACAAAACTTGCCACCGGGAGAATCAGGAGCTTGCCAAACAGTTGAGGACTGCCCCAGGTGCGACCAGTTGGTGGCCAAGCAGATTTGGCCCCCTCGAGGTCGGGTTGCCTGATCGTCAGTTAGCTAGGGCCTGATACACCTGTGGTGCCTGGACAGAGTATCCTCGGTCCTGACCACCCGACTAGGTGTCTCGTACACTGCCTCCCAGCGGGTGTAACGAATCACCCGTCGCCGGGACAGAGACCAAGCACAGCCACCAGAGCCATAGGTGAAACACTTCCAGAGCCGAATGAGGCACAATCCCTTATGGATTTGTCGAAATAGCCATTGCTAGCGGCTAACTAAACCAGGCATCTAGTTACAGATTCAGCCTAACCACAGGATGTTAGCGATTTATACCCTGGCACCTGAAATCCCAGCTCTAAGTACATAAGAGCCTCGACATCTCCACATGCCAGTGAACCAGACCAAACCAACGGTCGTGAAGTTCACATCTGCAAAGCTATCCGAGTCCTATTCTATGATGACCGAGGACTCATCTAGTGGTGAGGGAGTGGCAGCCTCGTCGTTAGAAGAATCTCGTCCCAAGATGGCCTTTCAAATCTCTGCGCCGCTGCTACAACACAGCGACGACGGCAACACCGTGATGGAAACCCCAGATCAAGAGGGTCGATCTAAGGAAGATGTTAGAGAATTGAAAGGCGGTCGTTATTCACGGGCTCAGCCCGCAAAAGCTCGAACTACCGACGCACCTGCCCAAGGAATCGACGGAGCAGTTCTCGATATAACTTGGGCTCTTACGTGCCTCAATCTGCCGATGCTTGTGTTGACAGCTATCTTTATCGGCCTCGTATATGCTTACGAGGTTTCCAACGGTCCCGAGTCTTCCGAAAACTTGCTAGGAGTTGCGTCCCTGGGAGACAACTCGGCATATTTCGTTGATTATAGTGCCACACGGTTGATCACGGTTTCGTCCTGGACAAGCACTGTCACATCGCTCACCTCGACGTTTGTCATGGCCCTGATCTCTTATCCTCTCGCAAAGGACTACATCAGAAGGTCGAACTTGGGACAGACCGAGTCTCTTCCTACAGTCTATCAGTTCAAGTTGATTATAGGTCTCCTCGGAGGGGGGTATGGACCTTTATGGTCATGGTTTCAGTATTGTTTCTGGAAAAGACGAAGCAAGCAGACCAGGCTCCTGTGGATGGTCGTTGCAAGTCTTTTGGCAGCAACTGTTTTGAGGTAACACCACGTCACAACTCCCTTCAGGTAAGAGTCGCATGAGCTAATTTGTGCGAATAGTATCGCTATCCTCGCGGTTGACACCTGGCTCCATGTCACTACGTCTACAGTGGACTTTGACATAATGTCACCACCAGCTCTCACGCCTGTCTCGAGTTACGGCCGTGGCCTCATACCCCTTTGTTACAACCAAACTTGGACAGCGGGAGATATCAACCAGTGCATAGGCGGCTTGCAACTGCCGGGGTCCATTCACTTCGACAGTGCTTCAGAGGCGACTCGCACCTCAATGAACCTTTCCTCCGTCAACGCCGTCTTGACTAGTACCGTGAAGAACAAACATTTCGCTTACCTCACTTCAGCGCAACGAAACTCGAGTCTCGATTTCCGAGCCCGAACTTACGCAATGAGTACTACATGTGCTCCAGCCAGCAAAGCCTGTCATCTTCAACAGATCCAATGGTGCAACCTTGAAAACGGTTGTGCCCTGGGCCAAGTCCAGTTAACTCTGGGGATGACATACAACTGCAGCTCAAATCTCTACGGAGACATGAATAACAACACCGGCTCCAGTTTCATGTCGGGAAACGGCAGTTCGGACGGGACGAAGAGCAACATTGGCTTCTTCCTGCAGATGTTCAGGCAACAAGAATTTTCGGACCCAATCGGGACTGTTGATGGGCAGATGGCGACCCCAAACCCATTCTACTTTGCAGTTGGTGCTCGAGTGGCCACTTCGGACGCACTATCCAAGGATCCAGAAGCCATCGAGGATACCGACCAATACAATTATGCCTTCATTTTCGCATGTACTTCTACCATCTATGAACTTGAGTACACGTCCGTCGACGGTAATGTGGTGGATGGGAATTACACCAGAGCGAACGATACCCTGTCCAATAATGCGGGCTGGACTCTTCTCCAAGGCCGACCGCTTGCCCAGAACGCCCTTGAATCCGCTTTCTTCAGCGGGGCTCAACAGGTCAACACATCTCAAGCATTCGCAGATTTCTTCGCCCAACAATTCAGCAAGACTGCAGTGAGCATGATTGCCGGAATCACAGATGGGAGATTAAACACTGCAGAGCAAACGAGACAAAGTCGACTGGTCACCCGTCTTCCGAAAGCCCCCTTCTTTGCTTTAATCATTCTGAATCTGCTATATGCCGTACTTAGCATGCTACTGGCTGGCATGGCTTTAGCTAGTCAGCCTAGGAAGACACGCAATATTCAAGCACGGCTAAGCATCGCCGGGTTGGTGGCTGCTTTGCTGGAACCGGCATCCGTGCAGCGTGCATCTGGCTCCAAGGGAGGCGGCACCGGAATTGAAAGTCTCTTTGCCGAGTACTATAATGATGGCCAGCATGATGACGACAGTCGAGTCATTCTGGTAGATTCTGATCCTGGAAACTGTGTCTTCGAGAAGATATCGATGCAAAGTGACGTGTTTGATGACAATTCTACCATCCAAGTGTCTCAGAGAGTCGGTGGCCAGCCTCTCGTTCATCCCGTCGGCGCGAGCTGGTTGCCCGAAGAAGGACCACAGGGAACAGCGACAGCAGCATATGCTGGCTCTTTGGCTGGCAGGGGCAGCAGAAGACAACCAAACCGCTCAAGTTGAAGGCACAGCACGAGTTTCGGGGCGATCTGACAATAGATGAGACACGAACAAAGTGTCCTATCCGTTTGTGCACAAGCCTCTACCTACTCCAAATGGACTCATCTCGGGTAAATGGTTGTTCAAGGCGGATTTTGTTCAAGGCGGGAGCAGACCCCTGAGATTCTTTGGATGAAGGATGACACTGTCCATTACCACAAGGGAGTCTGCACGAAGGGGCGGTCATTCGACAAGCTTCACCAATGTTCCTGCCACAACTTCCAGACGGTCCAATAGGCAACCACAGTGGGGATGCCATGGGTCTTAAAGGACGACCACCATCCCGCGCCCGAAGCGGCCGAAAGTGAAAAGTCACAAATGCCATTGACACCAATGCAGGCCAACACAATCACCACCGCGCGCCACTCGTTACATGCCTCGAGGATGAGCAGAGTAAGACCCAGGCAGAGCTGCCGTATAGCGAAGAGGTGAAAAAAGGTGAGGGAGGTCTGGTCGGTTGGGGGCGGAAAACTCGCCGAGACTGAGAGCGCGTGCGGGCTGACGAAGGCGCTGACGAAAACTCCCAGAAACATGACTGGGACCAAGTACGCGACGAGGTATTGTAAGGGAGGGATCGACAAGGAGGAGACGGAATCCATGACGATGGGCGGTGCTGAGCCGAGAGGGACAGAGCGAGGAAATCTGATATGTTGTGTTGTGTACCTCAATAGGTACGTAAGAGGTAAGTCAGTGGGTTGGTGGGCGGTTTGGATATTGTTGTCGTTTGTTGTCCGAAATCTCCCACTCCAATACGTCGCCAGGCCGAGAGTTGGGACGCACCAAGTCGGCATTTATATGTGTTGAGTTACAAGTACAACTCTACCTAGGTGAGTCCTAGCTGGTATATCCATACACACTTACACCCAAGCGATTCGGCGTGGAAAAACTCCCTGTATGCACTCGCGCGCCAATAGGACGGGCAGCAAGCCGAGTAAGGCAACCCGTCGAGCCACCGCACGCTCGCTGCTTGCACCCAAAAGGCGAGTTTCTTGTTATCTGCAGCGCATGGAGTTAAGAGACATGGATGCCACGGTGATAAGGCCACCCCTCAGTGACCAGACTAGGCTGGGCGGCAGATATCAGTAGTACAAGACGTCTCCTTTGGCCCGTCCCACGTGGTGGACTGAGATGCATCCATACGTGGATTTTGCCCACGGTGCTGGTTCAATAAAATAGCAAATGGAGGGTCTATCAAAGACTGGTTATATGCAACGAGCTGGGGTACCTGTAACAGGGCGCTGACTCCGTTACCACCCATGAGGGCGGAGATATAGGGTTCTGGACCGATGTGTAATTTGATTGGTTCAACTTAGGTATACATCCCTCCACCGACGCCGCACAAGGCTGAGTTCTTGTGTTGGGCCCCTTTTGTTTAGCTTGTGTAAGGCGGAACACGGAGAAAATAGAAGGTAGAGCTGAAAGACAGGAATCCAATCAGTTGCGTCCAAGGTCATGTAGACTTGAAGATGGCTGTATAAATCTCGCTAGAGAAGGTACAAGTTCAGGTAGAAAAGCGATATTGGGTACCTCACATTTGTGTATTAATGTTTAAAGACTTGCTCAAATGATGCTCTAGTGATGCTTGAATGATGGTCGAATGATGCTCTGACGCTCTGACGCTCTGACGCTCTGACGCTCTGACGCCAAAGTTCATTCTCTGGGCGTCTCCTCTACAGCGCAATGCTTGGTGATCTTTAACAATACCGTATTCCTTCCCACCTCCATGTTCGGGGAGGAGACCAGGGGTCTTACCACGTCTAATCCAGCTGCGCCTCAAACTCATCCTCGTACACTGCGGCGCTCTCATCCGTCTTGATCTTGGTCAGTTGCTCGCTGACATACCTGTCGTAATGACTATCTGCGATGCTCCTTCTGCGTTCTTTCTCCAGTTTATCTTCTTGTCCCCACGCATCTGAATCTGTCGCTGTGGTTTCAGCCGCTTCAAAATAAAATTTGGGAGTATCCACGTCGTGGATAACGGCGGGAGTCGCGTTGCCTCTGCTGGAGTGGTCGCCGTTGGTAACGGTGGAGACAAATGAGCCGCGGTTGCCAATCGAGCGCGAAGTTGAGGAACGTCGCATAGGACCAGGAGTACCAACGACGGTGCCTTTCCCGCTAAGTCCTCTTGAAAGAATGTCGTCGAAGTAATGCGCTGCGGCGGTGGAGGGTGTACGCGGAGTCTGCGGTAGACGACAGTTGATCCCCGTGTCGTGGATCATTTTTGCCATCAGCCCGGTCCAGCCGCATTGGTGGCTCGCGCCGAGACCACGTCCGGTGTCCCCGTCGAAGAACTCAAAGAACCATAGGTAGTCTTTCCAATGTGGGTCGAAGTCGAGGGTATCATTGCTTGCGTTTATGGCACGGCGACCTTCACTGTCCCGCACCATGAGATGCTGAAGTCGGTGCTGAATCTCTTCGGCAACGCGGCCAAGGTGCATGTATTCGCCAGAGCCAGTGGGACACTCAATCTGGAGAGAGGTGCCATAGAACATATAGTACCGGAGAAGGGACTCTACCAGGAGGAAATTCACGGCAATCCAGATCGGGCCGCGCCAGTTTGAGTTGCCGCCGAAGAGGCCTGAGTCAGAGTCGCCGGGCACGTAGCCAACTTTGAATTGTTGGCCGTTGACGTCCATGCTGACAGGATGGTCTTCGTGGTACTTGGACAAGCTGCGGATACCGTGCTCCGACAGGAACTCTGTTTCGTCGAGCATCCTCTTCAAGATCTTCTCTAGCCGCTCCTTGCTGACTAGAGACAGAAGGAGCCGCTCATCTTTCCCTCTTTTTCGCATGGAGGCAATGTTTCGTTCCGCAACGTCGTGGCGATTTTCGATAAACCAATCCATGCGCCTTTTGAAGTTGGGAAACTTGTTGATTAGCTCCGGCTCCAATGTCAGGACTGCGTACAGTGGGATGAGACCGACGAGAGACCGTACGCGCATTTGCTGAGTCCATGGTCCGCCCCAAGAGATGGCGTCGTAGTAAAATCCGTCCTCCTCGTTCCACAAGCTCTTTTCTTTACCACCAGCACGGAAGCTCATCGCATCCGCGATCAAGAGAAAGTGCTCGAAGAACTTTGAGGCAATGTCCTCGTATATCCGCCTATGCTTGGCCAATTCCAGTGCGATGTTCAGCATGCAGAGGCAGTAAAATGCCATCCACCCTGTGCTGTCAGCTTGCTCGAGCACTCCACCGGTAGGTAGCGGCTCGGAACGGTTGAACAAACCAATGTTATCCAGACCCAGAAAGCCGCCTTCGAACACATTTTTGCCCTCGTGGTCCTTGCGGTTAACCCACCAGGTAAAGTTGAGGAGCAACTTCTGGAAAACGCGTTCGAGGAAATCTAGATCCTGTCTTCCGTACATTTTTCGTTCAATCTTGAATGTCCGGAAGACGGACCATGCGTGCACTGGGGGATTGACATCGCCGAAATTCCACTCGTAGGCCGGGAGCTGTCCGTTGGGGTGCATGTACCATTCACGAGTGAACAGATCAAGCTGCTTCTTCGCAAATTCTGGGTCAATCATGGCAAGTGGGATACAGTGGAAAGCCGAGTCCCACGCTGCGAAGAACGGATACTCCCAGGAATCCGGCATTGAGAGAATGTCATCCAGATACATATGCTTCCAATGCAGATTCCGGACATTCTTGCGGTTTTCCGGCGGAGGGGGCATGTTAGGGTCACCGTTAGCCCACTGATCCCATATGAAGTAATAATGCTGTTTGCACCAGAGCATGCCAGCAAGGGCCTGGCGCTGGATATTCCTCAAATCTTCGGCCATGGGAAGAGGGCTGATTCTGTAGTAGAACTCGTCGGCTTCCTGCCGTCTTTGCTCGATGATGTCGTCCAAAAGCTCCTCGTTAAGGTAGCCGTCGTACTTCCGAGACAGGCGGAATCTGACAACAGCGCACTCTCCTGGAGGGACCCCGTCGCCTTGGCCAAAGTCGTACCAAGCAGCGCATTTGGTGCCAGAGCAGCGAGGATTGATGGCACCCTTCTCTTCATCGACAATCCACCGATGGAAAGCGTCCTTGACGTACGGTTGTTTGTTCTTGACCCCATAAAGCTTTTGAAGGTTGGTGTCATTTTCCGTGAACATGAGTTGTGGATGAACATCGTCAGCATTCGGACCACAGCCTGGTGATGGAGATAGTTGGAAGAAGCGATGGCCAAGCTTGTAGTGTTTGGATTGTGCGGTCATCGGTCCCACCATGCGGATGTTGGGTTTGAGCTTTTCAGGCTCATGGCCCCAAGACCAAGTGTTTCTGAACCACATATGAGGGATGATATGCAACGGAGCTGGCTCCGGGCCACGGTTATAGGCCGTGACTCGAAATAGCAGCTCTTCAGGTTCATCTGTCTCTTTCGCTGTCTCGATGAAGATGTCAAAGTAACGATTGTGCTTGAAGGCGTCCGAGTCGATGATGTTGAATTCGCGCTCATGCTTGCCACGTTTTGCATTTTCCTGGATCAGTTGTTCGTAGGGGAACCGTCTCTGGGGAAGCTTGTAGAGATATTTCATATACGCTGGAGAGATGTCAGCTTAATGTTTCTCGAGTTTGCAGTTCCCCAACTTACAATGCGTTGGAACATTGTCTAAATGGAAGTGTGCCTCCTTGATGCTTTCCCCATGGTTTCCCTGAGGATTGCTTAGACCGAAGAGCCTCTCCTTCAAGAAGTCGTCCTTCTCGTTCCAAAACGCAAAGGCCACGTTCTGAAGTCCATGAGTATCGGACACTCCAGCAATGCCATCTTCCCCCCAGCGGTAGGCTCTAGACCGGGATTGGTCATGAGAGAAATGACTCCATGCGTCACCATTGTCCGAGTAGTCTTCACGCACAGTTGCCCACTGACGTTCAGCAACATAGGGACCCCATTTCTTCCAGTATTTCTGACGCTCGCGGTCCTCTTTCAGCCGCTTCTCTTCCTCACACAAGTACTCATGGTGGTCAACAACAACCATATCGCGTCAACGGAGGGCAATTCCGGCTGTGGGATACTTGGGACAGGTCAACGCAGATCAGCACATGCAGCAGGGTGCACGTTCTGGCTGTGTGAAACCGGGGAATTGAATGAAGAGGAGGATGAGCTCGGGATGAGGTAGAGATGAAGTAGGGATACGGATGGACGGAGAGGTCTCCAGCTGCATGAACGTCCTGTATGGAAGGAAAAATGAGCGACAGAGGTAGAACTTCGTGAGAAGATCGGAAAGACAGAAAAATTCCCCAAGTCGCAGGGGGATGACGATCGGCGAAATCGAATTCTTGATGGGAATTGGCAGCGGGCGGTGTTGGTCGCCGTTGCCATCCCACTAGCTACGTAGAGCTTGCAGAACCTATGCAGGAATCTGGGCAGGAACAGTCGTCAGCGGCGCCAAAAGGCCCCCATTGAACTGCGGCTAGTGAGGCTTTGATCAGCGCCGATAGGCTGTGCCCAAAATCTCTGGGCACTCACTAACCCAGCCACTCGGCTCGTAGGTGGGCTTAACACTGAACAGGTTTCCGGCCCCAGTTCCCACGCCCCAAACACCAACAAACCTCGCCTATCAAGTAGAGCCCCACGCCAGGTAACGACAAGGCTGCCGGTGCTACTTGCCTCATACATGGTGAGTTGCCTAGGTACCTTGTATCTCGAAGTTAACTCCTGCCCCCAGGCGCCTGGGTTGACCTGGCGAGCTGGGTAAATACTTCGTACCCTGTACTTAGGACCGGTTCCTTCTCCCATGTGCAAGGTAGCTACCGAGCTACTTGTAGGTAGCGGACACAGCCTGCAAGGTGATTTATCAAGATCTGTCATCACTAATCATGGCTTTCTGCTTTCTGCTGCAAATCACACATCCCTCGCACGCTTGCTAGCTGGGTAATTGAACCTAAAAGCAGCTTTCTCCGTTCGTACCAGATCCCAGCCAGGCGAATTGCATATCTACGCCAATTTGAATACCCGAGCCTCGTGGTATCTCGCCAGTCTCCCTTTTTATTTCCAATGGATTGCAATCCCAGGAATCAGATTGTGGTACAAGTATCCGTATGCAACTCGGTTGTGCTTCCAACTCCTCCAAGATGCAGGCTGCAATACCTCTCATCATTTAAACAGCGCCAGAATCTCCTTCATATGCTGTTCGCGCACCTCTTGCTTGCTCAACTGCTTGTAATTTTGATTTACTGACACGTCGGCCAACTGCTGTTTTCGTCTCTGCAATTCCACAATCTTGCCTTCTATGCTATTTTCGATTTGATACCGTTTGACGAGGACGGGGCGCTTCTGCCCGATGCGATAAATTCGATCCACTGCTTGCGCTTCGGCTGCAGGGTTCCACATCGGCTCCATGATGAACGCTCGCGACGCAGCCGTCAGATTCAGCCCTTGCCCGGCAGCCTTGATCGACGCCAGGAGAATTCTGATGGTGTTATCCGACGCGAGCGCATCCAGCGACTTCTTGCGGCTGTTGAGGGACATTGTGCCATCAATGCGCACGAAAGAGTGGCCATGATCGGTCAATGCCCTCTCGATGAGATCCAGGTGCGACGTAAATTCGGAAAAGACGACACATTTCAGAGGGACTTCCCCAGCAGCCTCCAACGCTTCGCTCTCTTGGTTCATTTGCTCAATATCTGCCAACAGTGCCCTCGTCTTAGTATGAGGCCCTGTATAAGTCTGCACGCATTCATCTTCTTCTTGTTGCGCGATAGTATCGTCTGGCGCCACGAGGATGTCTTGCGCTGTGGATCCACTAAATCCAACATACTGGGCAGTAATTTGGGCGGAACAGAATGGACAAGTAATGGCTTCCTTGTCCATCATGCGGTCGAAGGACGGCTTTGCCGGATTGAAACAGTCGGCACAAACGAGGTCAAAGCATGGGAGGATAAAGCATCGAAGCGCCTGTTCCTCGTCATCTGTTTCGGCCTTCACAACTTCCTTGGTGATGCTACGTTCACAGTTCCTGCACACATCCAGCTCAGCCTCGGTCCTCAAATTCAATGCCTCATAAGCTGCTTTTCTCGATATGGTTGGGAGTGGAGCATCTTCGTCGACGTCAATAGCATCAGCGGCGCTAATCCCTTTCAGCAGCTTTAAATCTTTCTCCTTGAGCAACTCTCGACCGTGGGCGCAAATGAGCCGTAAGGTCATGATGCCGCGAAGCACATGATGTTGGACACCACTGTTCTTCTCTTTTGTACGGCTGAGCTGTTCAATTTGGACATGAGCAACTCCTTTGAAGAAGTCATGCAGTCGTCTTTCTTCGTCTGAAAAGGTCAATTTGGCCACATAGTCTTTTCTCTCCGGCAGATCGATTCGGTCTCGAAGTCGACGGAGCGTGAATGAATCCACGAAGACACGCAATGCCTTCAAAAAAGCCGGATCGCCTGCTTGCGCCGGTCCTCGAATGTACTGACTAAATCGGCCTGACGTATCATAAGGATACATGCGGAGGAATCTCGTCAGAGACCCCAGGTCGTCCAATCGATTTTGAATAGGCGTTCCAGTCAAGCACCAGCGGCGTTGGGCCTCAAGACTGTAGCAGGCCTGTGACTGGAGAGCTTTTTGTTCTCTGATCGTATGCGCTTCGTCAAGCACTATTCTGAACCATTTTACCTGTCTCAAGGGGTTCATGGTTGCAGCAGTCTTGGAGAATTCAGAAGCCACCACCCCATATGTCGTGATGATCATATCGTATTTCAGCAACTTGAATGGGTTCTTTTCCCGAGTTGGGCCATGGTAAACGTAGTAATTCATAGTTCCAGGCTGGACATGCTGTGCGATCTGATCCTCCCAGTTTTTCACTGTGCTCGTCGGACAGACTATCAGTGTCGCCTTGCTGTTGGACAATATGTGCTGCATGTCCTGATCGTCGCGCACTGGCTGCTCATTTGCAAACAGTTCAGCCTTCCCCAATGTGCTTGCGATGAGGGAGAGGGCTTCCAGTGTCTTTCCGAGACCCATAACATCTGCAAGGAGACCACCAAGGACTTGCTCGGGCTCATCTTTGACAGAAAGACCTGTGACGACTTCGTGATAAGCGACGTCCCCATTCTTCCGTTGCTTCCGCCGCCAGAGTGAAGAATTCTCTGCTTCATCACTGCCAAAAGTGCGTGGCTGCTCTTGGCGCAGAAGAAATGTGAGAGCCTGCTTCTGGTGACTAAGTAGAGGTGTTGTAATGATGGACGGTGGCGGACTGGTTTCAACTAGAGGCCGACTTGCATTGGCGAAAGAGTCAAAGAGCTTCGAGACTGCGTCTGTGGCTTCCTCAAGAGTGCGTGTGTCGGACAGCGTTCTCACCTGGCCCGTAGCACGCGGGGCTGGGAAAAGTGGTTTTTTATGTCCATGGGGATTGACGATTGGGATACCTGGTTCCGAAGCCATTGGTGGGCGGAACCAGAAGTTGTGTTGGCCAAAGTGCCTACCAACCCTACTGACATCTCCACGTCGGCCGTAGAGGTTAACAATCATCTTAAGCTGTTCAGAGCAAGGCTGGTGGGGCCACTCATTTGGTTTTTTGCGTCGATTGATCAATTTCGCCTGCGTACGAAACCCCTTCAGTCCATCCATGGCCGGTGCAAGCGCCGCGGCGAAGTCAGGATTGACTTTTGCGAAGGTTGTACCCACCGGATCTTGCACGTCAATCACCATGTCCTTTGACGGTTTGCGGATGAGGGTACACTTCATGACCGGCCATTCTCGTTCCTGGTGGAAGGAACTTGCAGTCGTTTTGGGCTTCGGGAGGAGGTGCGCTTGTGCGGTTGTTGCGATGTGGCCATAGCATACCTCTTGATCATCGAGCGACCGAGAGGATATGATTTGGACATCATCATCCCCATCTTCTTCATCATGGGTGAGATCAACCAGGCTGTTCTTGGTTACCTCGGCTGCTTGGTTGGGATCTGGTCGCATATATTCACCAACAATTCCATTGCCATGACGATAAGAGGACTTGCCCATCTTTGGTTTTTGCTCGCGCTGGTCTTCGGCGCTCAGTTTCACCTTTTTACGGGGGTTACTGGTCCGCTCCTCGACCCCATAAATGCTTTCGAGCATGGATTTTTTGACACCATCCATGTGACCGACTTCTCCTTTGGGTGAAGTGCAATCTCTTGAAGTTGAAGCAGATGTCGTAGATTTTAGAGATCGATTCAATGCCCGGGGGTCGAGAAGGGCCCTGCGGTTAAAATCATGAGGCAGCTTTGAGAGACTGTTAGATGATAGCGAAGGAGATGATGAGCGTGATGTGGTAGAGCCCGGTTTTCGAGGAGACTCTGACCTTGCGGTGTGGGATTGATCAGCGAAGGACATGTGTTTCCCTGTCGTTCCTGAATAAAAGAGTGTCAGCTTGTCACTTGTCCAAGGAACTTTGTTCTCGATGTTGTTTGAGTCTTTACGCCTGCCATTACGCCTGCCAACTTGATGGAAGTCCACTCAGACCACTGTTCAGCCCAAGCCCAAGAGCGACAAGAGGCATTAGGCGGGAATTTGAGAATCCCGTTTGTGTGAGTTGAGCAGTAAGACTTGATTTTGGATACAGAGCGTCTGGGGCAAGATATAATCTGAAAATAAGGATTTAATGGGTCTTGGGCATTCAGATTTACCTGATGTCTTAGGCATCTTCTTCAAGGATTTGGGGTCCAGCAACATATGAGCGTTGCTCGCCATATTAAATGTCTATTTCTCTTCCAAGATAAGAGAGGCGTGTCACTTGTTTGTGACAACTGTGACTGCAGATCGGTTGAAGTGAGGAGGGTGGCGAATCATGTTGCGGCATGCGGCCTGTGGCAAGCCTCATAAATGATGCTCGCGTGAAAGAGTGAAAGCTGCAATGAGATGATACGACTGTGGGATGAGGCGCACGCCACTACAGCATTCAGGAGCACTGGCTTGAAAAAGCCATGACAAAAGAATGATTGCCGTCAGTGATGGAGGAGGTTTATTAGGTTCTGAATCAAAGACGCGCTCGGATTAGGGCGGCTGCAGCCTTGCGCTAAAACAGCAAAAACCGGTTGGCAAGGCTGAGCGAGGCTGAGCAAGGCTGACGCAAAAATCTGGCCTTTCTGACGCTGATTCGTCCCACAGTCACAAAGGACGTGCGCAAAAGAAAGAGACGCTATGTAAGAAACCATTGACCTTCATGACGTAGTATTACTCCATCCCAAGTACTAACCAGGCAATTTTGCGACATCTTTCGCCGCTTGCTGATTGAATCCTTTGTTCCAACGCAAAATGCCGTGATAACCTCTTTTATGCAATATCATTCGCACCGTCATCTGGCGCACGCGAGCCCACCATCCATTCTTCAACGGCTAGCCACTCACTCCAGGTCCTCTCGGCCGCCTCAACCTCGGCGTCAGTAGGGTCATACAGCGGCCGCATGAAGGGTACCGTCTCCAAGGGGGGTATATCATAGTCTCTTTTGACTGCCGCCCACCCGCCACTTTTGGCGGCAAAGAGGTAGTTCCTTCTTTCCTGCTCTCGTTGTGGTCCAATCCCAGCTCTCCAGTCGTCGCCGAAAAATCCGTGCAGGACTTGGGGCACATCCATTCCCGTGACCACGAGCCGTCGCAGATATGGAATGAGAGATACAGCGGAGGCGGCGGCAGTTGCTTCGGAAGCAGAAGGCCTCACTGCATCTCTATCCAGCCGCGCTTTCCCACTTCGAGATCCGGACGTGGTGTAGACAGGATGCGGCTGACGCTGGAACGGGAGCAGAATGTTGATAAATGACGCGAATGCCTGGACAAGCGGCTCGTGCTGGGCATGATCTATAAAATACCGCTGACAGCTTTGATATTTTGGAAACCACGCGATGATGTCGAATTGAAATCCTCCTCCTGCTGGGCGTTTGCCGTGGCTTCCCGCCTCTGAAGGGCTGCTGATGCCAGTAACCGCTGCATCGCGAACAGACCTCGGTGCGCTGAAGTTACTTTCGGACGACGATGACGAGAACGCCATATTGGCTAGCAGCTCCCGAGCACCGTGCTAAAAGCGCCGTCAAAACTGAGGGAGCCGCTCTGAAAGGGAAAAAAGACACATGCAAGTCTCCCGCCCGCGATAAGCCGAGGATGAAGTGGCATCAGGCTTAGGTGCATCCGTGTCCGAAGCGCGCATCATGAGAGACGCGGCATCGATATATCAGACAACAGGAATATTGACACGTTCGACGGGACTATGCCTTCATGCTACGTGCCGAGACCACAGGGTGTTGACATGCGGAAACTGGGGGCGGTGAAGACGTGCAAAAACAGTTGAAGGGGACAAGCTGTGAATTGTGCGCTAGGTTGGTTGAACGATGGGGTTTCTTTCCCTCGCCACCAGATTGTACCCAAGAGAATTGGGGGAAACGGGGGGAGCACCAGTGATGAAATAATCCCGTTCTGAGGCCGCGCAAAACTGTGCCGTCAATCGACGAAGATGAAACTTTGTTTGCGCGCTGGATATTTAATGAGCTGTTTTGATAGGGATGCACCGTAGGGTCGGAAATGGAATTAATGTGACAGCCTCATGGCACATGCGAATCAATACACCACCAACGGCCACCTACAGCTTTCACAGTGGTCGCCTCTGACATGGCATCTCCCGGCCTTTGAAGACGAATCATAATACCTCTTGAGCATCACTAGCACTTAAGTAATCTCCCCACCGGCATTTGATTCCGCTAGGTACAAGTAGCGGGAATCCGTACTCATCGGTCTCTTGCCGGCCAAGTTCCATGTCCAGGGCGTCGTCTTATCTGCAAAGAGAGGAGAGAATATATATATACGCAGCAGCATCAATGGCGCCGAACAGCTTCTCACTGTCCTCTCGACTTCCTCTACCGAATGGCCTCTCTATTCCTCAGATCCACTTGGGTGTGTACCTGATGTCAAACCGAGAAGCCTCGCAGGCAGTCGTATGGGCCCTTGAAGCAGGCTATCGCGGGGTCGACAGTGCTCAGATGTACCGAAATGAACGAGCCTGCGGCCAGGCCATATTATCTTTCCTGAATGACAAGGCCAGCAACACCTCTGGCTTGACACGAGAGAACATCTTCTTCACCTCTAAACTGGCGTCAAACACAAGCTATGACACTGCTCGTCGCTCAATCAGACAATCAGTGGAAGCAAGTGGCCTGGGTTATATTGATTTGTTCCTTCTTCATAGCCCATATGGAGGGAAGAGCGCTCGCCTCTCTAGTTGGAGAGCTATCGAGGACGCCATTCAGGATGGCGAGATCAAGCTCGGAGGGGTCAGTAACTTTGGGATCAAGCATTTGGACGAGCTTGTTGCCTCCAAGCCACGCATCATGCCGTGTGTCAACCAGATCGAAGTCCACCGTGAGCTAGTCCTATCTCACACCATTTGTGTTCCGAGCAACCACGCTGACCTCCTGCATTTAGCATTCAATACGAGGACAGATATTGTTGAAACATGTCGCAAGTATGGCATCCTGATCGAGGCATACGCTCCTCTTGCGAGAGCTCTGCGCATGGAGCACCCGACCATTGTATCACTCTCGAAGAAATACAAATGCACTCATGCGCAACTGATGGTCAGGTGGAGTCTTCAACACGGGTATATTCCACTACCTAAAAGCGTATCTCGAGACCGAATTAGGTCAAATGGCGATGTTGGCCATTTTGAGATTTCCAACGAAGACATGCAGACAATCGACCATTTAGACGAATACTTGGTGACTGACTGGGATCCCGTCGACGCGGACTAAGGCCTAGACTGCAGCTTGACGGATGACCAAGCGCTTTTTAACCGGGCGGGGGTGGCCCGACCATTGCGGTTGTACTGGAGAGCAACAACCAAGCAGAACCCGACTGGCATCCGGTTGAACATTGCATATTCAGCTTGTTCCTGTCAGGTGATTCCCGAGCAACGGACGAGATAGCCAACAATATTCTTCCCAGAAGCCCGGCCAACGCAGAAGCACGAGGTAGAAGCAGAAGCAAAGCTGACCCCGCAGCTACCTATGATGTCAACGGCGTTCAGAGTACGGAGCATGTTGCACTGGGATGCAGGTCCCAGGCATTTGGGCTTCGAAGGTGGAAGTTCCCTCTTTTTCATGCCCTGTGCACTATGGCCATAGAGACAGGCGAAGGTTGGAGGCTGGTGGAGCAGCAGCGGACAGAAAAGTACTCTTCGATACACAAGCCCTAGTAACTCTTGCAAGTCAAGCCCTGCAACCCCCAGAGATTTTAACAGTGCGAGAACATTTCGCCCCGCATCAGTTTTTGAGTGCGTGTGAGACAGAGAACAGCGTTTTGGGTGCGATTGATTGGGATGTGTGATTGTTGATTGGAACAGAAGTCTCACAAATCCCAAGATGCGCATTCAATGAACGGATGATCTTCCGACTAGTGCGCACAAGGTCTTGTCAACAGACAGCGATCCAGGGCTTATTCCAGCTTAAGCATTATTATTGTCCTCGTTGTACGCAGGTGTCCAACGGCGGAAATAAGGTTGGTAAAGTGCGCCGCCTTCGAATGCTTAGTGGGAGAAGTGACCAACATTGTATCAAGGATATGTAGGGATGGTGGTCATTGCTGGGGAGATTCGGCCATGCTCGGAGCACGGGGTATCTTTCGTGGTCGATTTGTCCGTGCTTTGTCACTTGTGCAGCTGAGAGTGTGCAGGGATTTGCGAAGGGCTCGAAACAGCTCATCGCTGAGACTTTACCCACAGAGAATAAGAAAAAGAAAAGCAACGAGACGACGACGACGACGACGACAACAGAGCAGTGGCTGGTACTCCGTATAACTTCTGGCAACGGGTGCTCTGGGCCTTACTTCGGCGACTGGCTGTCCCGCTTTCCACGTTGTTTCGCCCCCAGCTTTTGTTGTTTCCCTTCCCGCCTCGCTTGCAGCGGCATATGTACGAGCGATTCTCGACCACTCTCTCGCGTCTCCCATATCCTAGGATGGAGTGGCGCTGGGTGGTTCCTCTGTCTCGGCTTCAATAAACCCGGGAAGAGGATCGGACAAAGAGAGTGCTTACGGTCAAATTTCAACTGCCGCCGGCTGGAAGGATCCTGGACAGCGGTATACAGTCAGTCCTGCAACATGAACGCTCAAAGGGGGAGTGGGACTTGGATCACGATCTGCTCCCAGCAGAGTTTTCTCTTGCTCCCCGTGCCACAAGGCAGGATTGCCACCAATACGCTCGCGTCTCTTCGCCCTGTTTCATTTCGCTTTTCATAGGAGGAAGTCGAGTCGTGACAATGGACTTGGGATCGAATAGGAGTGAGCATATTGCGGCCTCCGTACTCGGTACTGAGTACAAGTGCTCGAAACAGCGGCTATCGCCCCCCTAAACCAGCTGCCCCTGTGTTTTGCTGGAAGATGGAGTTGCTGCGGGTTGACGGGGCGTTTTTCTAGGCCTCATGCTCAAGCAAAGCGCTGGCAAGCCGCCTATCGAGCCATCTCTCGGGCTCTGAACCGTGCTGAGTCAGTCCGCGAACCCCCTTGTCTATTCATCTGATTATCTTTGGTTGGGCGGCAGATGTTGCGTTAGCTGCAGAAGTGGCGTATGGTGGGTGGTGGGTGGTGGGTGCTGGTTGTGGGATGGAGGAAAATCATCCACGAGTTTGCATATTCACTGGTGGCCAGGTAGGTTCCTGCGCGTGTCGACTTGGGATTCATCTCACTGGTCGCTCTGGCCCTTGGGAGGCCTGGCTAATTGCTGCCTTAGTCAGGACTGCAGTGTACCAAGTGCCCACCCATCTCGCCCATCTGGCTCTGGCATCTGGCCTTTCATTACCGTCAAGTCCTGGATGAATGTACTTGTAGGTATAGTGTACCTTGTACCCAGTACCGTTGTATCTCCCCAATGAGTTCCGCCTCTACCACCTCGGGACGGCCCCCACTCTCAATCCCACGCCCGATTCCCTTTCCCAAGTCCCCGACGACAGGCCCTGCTAGGTGCCCTGGTTCTTGCAGCGAAAACAGTTGGATGGTTGCGGACGCATAAATAGTGACGGCCAATGTACCAGCTGCCACTGGTCACAGGCCACATAGACCGCCCATTGGCCAAAGGACACTAAAGGGGAGTCCGCTCAAATCATCCGCCCTCTACCAGCAGAGTAGACCGAGTACCTAAAACGTGCTCGTGCGATAGACAGGGCTTTTAACTAAGTCAGCTCGGCCACTTAGGGGCCACTGGGCGGCCCTGATACCCCCTCCACGCCCCGGCCACGGGCATCTCCAACTGTGCGACAGCGCGAATCCGGATGCCACAGTCAAGACTTGCCCTGCAGATTCCCTTGCGCGATCGCCCTCAAATCCTTCTACCTCGTCGTCAGTTTCACAACAGTCCCCTTCTCTCCAATTCCCAAATTCCCAATTCCTTCGAGAACTTGCTCCCTCGGTATCGCCTCCTGAAAGTCTATTCACACCTACTCTGTGCCCGTTGAGAGGAACGACGTAGAGCTACCAAAAGCTCTCCCTAGTTGTCGCCCACCCTGACAGCTTAGACGATTCATCATTCACCTTCTGCTAATATTTCCCCCTCCCCAAGATACTCCGAACTCGCACGATGCATCTTCCGCCGCCAGTTCGTTGAAACGTTCCCAGCTGCGCCGCTCACGTCCTCCTTCCTGTGAACCGCCTGCGTATCATTGCCACTCTGCTGTTCCCTCCACTCTTCCTGCGGCCATCTCCATTGCGACTTCACGCATGTGAAAGCGATCGGCCTTTGTCCTGATCTAGACCCCTTTCCCAGAGGATATTGATACTTGTTGCCACGCTTATCGACGGGGACATCTGGTTCAACTGCGTGTAAGATACAAGAGGAGGAACGTATTTCAGGAGACGTTGCGGTACACATATTTGAGATATTCCAGCTTCAATTCTATACTCCACGTCCTGAATCAGTCGTATCATGGACTTCTCGTACTTCACCTCAGCCCCGCAGCCCTATCAGTTCTTTGGCTTGCCTCACACCCCTTCCACCACACAAACAAGTCATCTGGACGAGTTCAGGACTGCTCCTCCTTCTGTGAGCTGCTCCCTGTTCGTGAGGTGTCTGAGAATGCGGCTAACTGTCTTGTAGGATCAGTATGACGCCGCCTTTGCGGCATTTCAGCAAAGCTTCCACTATGACCCTGCCACGTTTCTCGCCCAGCCGCATCAGGCACCCACTCAATCTCCAGCGATCCAAGGACGCCATGACTCGATGGTGTCCATGCCAGAAGTGGATATGACAAGTCTCACTGCACCTGCAGTCGATGTGACGCCTGATGAACCTACGGTAGCAAGAAGCAGCAGCGAAGAGAAGGACACCTTGACACCCCAGCAAAGCCGCAGGAAGGCACAAAACAGAGCTGCGTAAGACCACTGAAATCTAGACCTCTCGGGAAGTAAATGATTCTAACAGTGAACCTCAGCCAACGAGCGTTTCGAGAGCGCAAGGAGAAACACGTGAAGGATCTCGAGGCGAAGTTGACAAGCCTGCAACACCAGTCGGTGACCCTGAACGGCGAAAACGAGAGGCTGCGGCGCGAGCTCGCGAAAATTGCAACCGAGAACGAGATCCTTCGTGCTACATCTGGTGCGGCGTCGAATGGTCCGACACCGTTTCTGGAAGAGCCAGATGAGTTGATCGGGCCGTTGGGGTACGTCCCCACTGATCGACATTCAAAAGACCGCTCTCCGGCTAGCAGCAGTGGTTCATCCTTCGATATCAGCTCCAAATACGCCCACTTTGGCACATTAAGGACTATCACGGTGGACAATGACACTGGAGAACCTTTACTGGGGGCCGGCGCCACCTGGGACTACATTCAAGCCCACGAACTCTTCCGCAAGGGTCTGGTGGACGTCGGCGATGTCTGTGAGCGCTTAAAAAAGATGGCGAGATGCGACGGCCAGGGGCCTATCTTCCTCGAAAGTGATGTTCGACTGGCGATTGCTGAGAGTGCCGTCGCTGGAGGGCGTGATGAGCTGATATGAGTTCTGTTCATCGCTCCCCAGAAACTTGAGCCTCACCTCTCCAACTATCCCTACACCTCTGTTTCAAAGTTCTATGACCAAGCGTTGGCGCTCAGGAGTATTGGTTGCTGCTATGTCAAGCGAAAGGCCACGCATTTGGAGGAATTCTGTCAGCGTGATTTGTGCAGTCTGTTCACCTTTCCAATACGACGAGGCGAAATGTCTCCCAAAGGCGAACCCGGCGACTTTCCTGGGTCCACTGCGTCCCGCGAGAGATTACCAGGAACCTTTATCACAAAAATTCCTCCAGTCCCCACAGCTATCTCAGCATGCAGCTCTGCAAGGGCACGGAGATTTGCATGCAACGCTCTTCGGCCCTTTACCTAAGTGGATCGTGCCCGTTTCTGACAAATGGGTCTTGGCTACCTTAGGTCAGCCGAACCCTTCTCCCACATGGGCGCGACGAGCGAACACATGTATCAATTACGACCCTACCGCCTATCTGCACCGAAGACCACCGTTTTCTGGAAATAGAGGACATTTCTAGGTCACACACCATCTTGTTCTGCCGAATCCGATTACCGAATGAGATACGCGAGCCCTGAAAACTTCTGGACCACCACCCCCTTGCCTCAACTGGTCAAGATGCCGTTGCTGGCTTTATATGCTGGACAGACGTACCAACCACTGTTAATTGGACAATGGTACCACCGTTTGAGTTCTAAGAATCTGAGATCCATGATCAAGGACGCATATCTCTCAGTGGCGTTGGCGATTCGCAGCAGCGGCACCGACCCTGGATGAATCGAATTATATTGTTGGGCATCGCCGGGTCGCCTTAAGGCCTCGTCCCATGCACGACGTTCCGGCCACGTAGGCGTAGAAAGTTTGAGAGCTCCAATATGTGCAAAGGCGGCTAGTCTTGGAAGCTGTTGGGTAACCAGATAGTGTTATGGTCAAAATGGATCGGCTCGGGCCTTTGGAATCATGTACGTGTGAGAGCTTGCGTAGCAGAGCTCGCATGGCTCTCCCACATTGGCCAATGGCCACGGTTCATAGTATCAGCCTGGCTTAGGATGAAGGCTGTGCAAATCAATTGGAAAGAATCACTTGATCAGTCCCAGTCGTCATCATCGTCATCGTCTTGATCGTTTTTCATCTCATCGTCATCCTCCTTTCCTTTGAGCCGCATGTCATTCTCCGTGAGCGCGCCGACCTCAACAAGGAGGCGCTCAAGATCTTCCAGGCTTGTTCTCACACTGTTGAGCTGGGCCAGAGTAACAACTTGGCGCTTGATATCACCATCCTTGTAGACTAGAATGGTCGGCGTGTTCTTCTCGGGATAGCCCTCGATACACAGATCGGCACGCATCTCGCAAAACTTGATGTCTCCGAATTTTCTTGCGGCTTGTCTCCAGATGTCGGACAGGACCCGAGACTCGACATTGGTGCCTAGGGAAGATGTTAAATTAACTAAAACATATGCCTTGGAAGATTCCTCCGTGACATCCCGCGCATAATCTGGCTTTTGAAGCCCAAAGACTTGACCATAAAGTGACTTTTTCTGCAAGCTTGCAAGCTCGGCGAGGCGTTTCCGGCGATAAATCTCTAGAAATGCTTCATCTTCCTCGTCTTCGAGGTCATGAAGTGCATCTAGATCTTTGTCTTCTAGCCGGTTCTCATGAGCCTTCTTCACCGCTTCAAGTAAAGCTTCTTGAATTATTGGTTCCGGATCCGGTTGCTTTTCGGGGATGATGCCATGTTTGCGAAGGATGTCGTTCCTGTATATGTCACAGAAACCATGTTAGGCGGGAGGAGAAGCACTGGGGAAGGGGCGAGACGAACCATTCTGTGTCTGCATTTGGATCATCGACGGGAACATTGACAGGCATATCCATTGTGAGCCAAGAAGGGCGGAGGCAGAAAAGAAAGGATACTGAGGGAGAAAGAGTCTCTCGGAGACAATGAGAAGAAATATCAAGAAATATCAAGATTCCATTCTCATCAGCAGCCTTCCAAGTGGCGTGAAGGATGAAAGCCACAATGTGGCTGGTGCTGAGAGCTGTGGCTGTTGCAAAGACTCCGCACAAATTATTGGCAATGGAGGAGGACACCGTCGACAACTCCGGCCCACGCCTGACGGCAGACCAGAGGCCTCGACAGCATTGGCAACAAGCCAAGTTTCTCCCTCCGATTGACAGACATCTATTCCTGTTCGCTTCACGTCCCTCCTTGTTCCCAGTTTTAATCCTGCGAAATGATTCTCCGGTAGTGGCATACAGAATCCCCGTACCAGCTCGTTCTTGCCCCAGGGGCATGCTTGTCATCCTGAATCTCTACCAACCCATCGACTGAATGCGTGCGTGGTGCTACTGTTCAATATGAGTTACGCAAAGAAAGACGAGGATGCCGAACACTCCGGCTTCAAGCTGGATCGAACTTCTGTTTTCCAAGATGGTATTCCTCCCCCCGTTTGCCTCTCACTGCTCAACATACCTTTTGCAAAGATTGACCCATATCTCCTTAGCTCGGCTGTTCAACTCCTCACCTATATCGCCTCGAAAATGCCGCACTCTGCTCACCAAGATCGCCGTCCTCCTCTTTACGGGAGAGAAATTCCCCACGAACGAAGCCACCACTCTTTTTTTCGGAATCTCAAAGTTGTTCCAGAACAAGGATCCCTCGCTGCGTCAAATGGTCTATTTGATACTGAAAGAGCTGGCACATACCGCTGAGGATGTCATCATGTCCACGAGTATCATTATGAAGGATATGACTGTGGGCAGCGAGATCATCTACAAGGCAAATGCTATCCGGGCTCTCTGCAGGATTATAGACGCTACGACGGTTCAGGGTATTGAAAGGCTAATCAAGACCGCTATTGTGGATAAGTCCCCCGCGGTCTCTTCGGCGGCGTTGGTTTCATCGTACCATTTACTTCCAATTGCCAGAGATGTGGTCAGGAGGTGGCAGAGTGAGACTCAAGAGGCCGCTTCCTCTTCCAAACCCAGTGGTGGGTTTCTGAGTTTCGGGGGTGGCTCGCAGCATTCACTGGCCGCTGCAAACACCAACTACATGAACCAATATCACGCAATTGGTCTGTTATATCAGATGCGGTCACACGACCGAATGGCTCTGGTCAAGATGGTGCAACAGTACGGCGCTGCAGGAGCAGTCAAGAGTCCGGCTGGAGTCATGATGCTGGTTCGGCTGGCTGCCCGCCTCGCCGAGGAGGATCCCAGCCTCAGAAAATCTATGATGCAGATGTTGGATACTTGGCTGCGGCACAAGAGCGAGATGGTGAATTTCGAAGCTGCCAAAGCCATTTGCAGCATGCCAGATGTGACCGACGCCGAGGCCGCGCAGGCCATCCATGTCTTGCAATCTTTTTTGACTTCACCGAGAGCGGTCACGAAATTTGCGGCCATCCGTATTCTTCATTCTTTCGCCTCGTTCAAACCCCAAGCCGTCCATTCCGCCAATCCCGATATTGAGGCTCTGATCTCGAACAGCAATCGATCGATCGCTACGTTCGCAATCACGACGTTACTGAAGACCGGCAATGAAGCCAGCGTAGACCGGCTCATGAAGCAAATATCCGGCTTCATGACCGAGATTACGGATGAGTTCAAGATTACCATTGTCGAAGCTATCCGGACGCTCTGCATGAAATTCCCCAGCAAACAGGCCGGCATGCTTACCTTCTTGAGCGGTATTCTGAGAGACGAAGGGGGGTACGAATTCAAACGTGCCGTGGTGGAGAGTATGTTCGATCTGATCAAATTTGTTCCGGGAAGCAAAGAAGAGACACTGTCTCACTTGTGCGAGTTCATTGAAGACTGCGAGTTCACCAAGTTGGCGGTGCGGATTTTGCATCTCATCGGTGTCGAGGGACCAAAGACGCCGCAACCTACAAAATACATCCGCTATATCTACAATCGAGTCGTGCTGGAGAACGCCTTGGTTCGCGCAGCAGCGGTAACTGCCCTTGCGAAGTTTGGCGTCGGGCAGAAGGACCCTGAGGTCAAAAAGAGTGTGCAGGTTCTGTTGACGAGATGTCTAGACGACACGGACGACGAGGTGCGCGACAGGGCAGCGCTGAATCTGCGGCTGATGCAGGAAGAAGACGATATCGCAGATCGCTTCATTAAAAATGACTCGATGTTCTCGCTATCAACCTTCGAACACAAGCTGGTCATGTACGTGACATCGGACGATAAGTCAGTGTTTGCCAGGGCATTCGATATAAAGTCGGTGCCGGTGGTATCTCACGAGCAAGCATTGGCAGAAGAACGTACAAAGAAACTCACGACCGCAACACCTACACTGAAAGCACCGAGTACGGGACCGGCAAAACCCAAGGCAAACGGAGCTGCAGAAGGACCGGCCGCTGGTGCAGCAGCCGCACAGAAATATACACAGATCTTCGCCAGAATACCCGAGCTTGCAGCATACGGCCCGGTCCTGAAATCGAGTGCTGTAGTTGAACTTACAGAAAGCGAGACCGAATACGTCGTGTCGGCTGTGAAACACGTCTTCAAAGAACATGTCGTTATTCAATACGATATCAAGAACACCCTTGAGCAAACTGTCCTCGAGAACGTGACTGTCCTAGCCTCCCCTGCCGACGAGGAAGAACCCACCCTTGAAGAAGAATTCATCATTCCCGCCACCACCCTGAAAACCAACGAACCGGGCGTTGTGTATGTTGCATTCCGCAAACTTGGTGGCATATCCGCCTTCCCTGTCACCACATTCACGAACGTCCTTAAATTCACAAGCAAAGAAATTGACCCGACGACAGGTGAAGCCGAAGAAGGAGGCTATGAAGATGAATATGAAGTTGAGAATCTAGAGTTGACAGGCGCGGACTTCGTCAGTCCGGCATTCGCGGGAAATTTTGATCACATCTGGGAGGGGACAGGAGCGAACGGGGAGGAAGTTAGCGAGACGTTGGTGTTGGGAAATGTCAAGACTTTGGCTGGTAAGCATGCGCACCCTTCCTTGGAACTTTTGATATGTGGTCTTGGTTGCATTGCTAACGTGTACGATCTTGTAGACGCGACGGAACAACTCTCGCAGGCGCTCTCTCTGCAAGCCCTTGATGGCACCGATGTGGTTTTATCCAGCACAACCCACACTCTGAAAATGTACGGCAAGTCGGTCACCGGTGGAAGAGTGGCGGCCCTGGTGAAAATGGTGCATTCGGCCAAGGCGGGCGTCACTGTCAAGGTTAGTGTGAGGACGGACGAGACTGGAGGGGGCCTCGCGCAGGGCATCATTGGGGCGCTGTCCTAAACGTCCAAAGCTTGAACCGAATGGGATGGGAATGGAGAGGGAGAGGAAAATCATTGCGACCGCTGCGAACGGTATTAAGAGGCAGGGTAGCAGGCACGGAGTCTGACCTACGCCTGGAGACTGACAGGGCAGTCCGCCATAGAGCAGAAACGGATATCCAAACTCGCCCGATCGAAGTCGCAACCGATCAGAAACAATTGAGACGTGGACCATGGGCTTTTTTGTCATTAGGTATTTCGTAACCTCCCAAACGGGTCGGGAGGGAAAATGGAATTTACGTCAAGAGGAAAAGGAAAGAACTCGTGCTATTTGAAAGCCCGACCCAACCGGGGCGTCATAGACTGTTCGCGTTCTCAAGTCCAGTATTTTCTCCCCTCCCTTTTCGGTCGTCTATCTGAGCGATTCCAGGCGGCTGACACCTCCCTCCATGCCTCTCCGCCTTTCTATTCACGAGAGTATACGTCCAAAGTCTATATCTCTGCAACAATACAACATGAAGGTCGGCGGGCTTTATGCCAGATTCCCCAAGCCGACGAAACTTCCCGTGGTCTTCAGAGGTCGAGGGTCGAGGTCGAGGTCGAGCTCGCTAGTCAATTTTCGCCTGGCGGTGCTGGGTTGGATGGGATCTGTAGATTCCACTTAGTTCAGTACCTTGCAAGCAGATGCTCGTGCGCATGTCGGCCGAATGCCTTGGTTTCGTCGCATTTGTTGGAATTTCGGGACGTTGTTAGAGGGTATTTTTGACGGGGTTGCTTGATTGGTTGATTGGTTGAACATGTGGTTTCTCTGCCTCGTCCTGGTTGGAAAGGGCTGTCCGATCGATCCAAAGGTCCCTCTCTGCTTAATTGGTTGCCGCACATTTAGATGGCAAGGTTATTGAGACAAATTGAATCCGATGCCATGTAGAGAGATATCTCTGGTTGGGGGCTGACGAAATGTGTCTGCTGAGTCCACGGTCGAAAAGTCGATGTCACCGCTCGCAAGTGATCTGTGTAGATGATGTAAATGAAATAGTGAAGCGCCGTCATGCTCCAAAGATTCGGGGGTGAGGCCGCTTCCTGGCCAGCGTCTTTCTTCGTCGGCGTACATAGCAGGACAGTATGAGTCCAGGGGGACGACAGGAGAATGTAGTGACTTATTGGCTGCGCAAGTCTCTGAACGCAATCAGGCCTTTTTCTTCGACCGCCCCTTCTTCGCACCGGAAGACGCTGGACTTGTTTCCGCACCGGACGAAACGGTGGTTACGTGTTCAGCTCCATGATCGGCCTGCACGGCGGGCATCATGACGGGAATCCGGTCTGATTTGTCCTTCTTGGCCATCTCCTCCTGTGCAGTCCTCAACACGTCAATATTGCCGCTGAGCCACGCTTGGAGTTCCTTGTGCTGCAGATAGCCGTGGGTGTTGAACCATTGTGTGTAGTTTCCGGTGATTTCCTTGTCTTCCCATTTCTTACCGGTCGCGGGGGCCGAGTAGGTGACTTTCAGTTTGTAAACGGGGGAGTGTTTCGTCGCGGACGAGCGCAGTGTGATCTAGCATCAAGCCTGTGTCAATTGCCCGCATCTGTTATAACAATAAATGGGGTCAGGAGTGACAAACCTTCTGCCCTCCCTCTCTGACACCAACAAATACAGTCCCCGCCTCCACCGCCCAGATCCAGTACGTTAATGCGCTATTCAGCACAAAGTATGCGACACATGCAGGACCTGTGTATGCCTTTGTGGCATCCCAGCCGAGTTTCCAATCCGCATAGAAGAGTACGCCCGCTATGAGCACGGCTGTGTACCCCAGGGCAAGCTTTACATTTGTCGTGTAATGTTCTTGCTTGAAGGCGTAGGGTCTTGGGAGGGTCGTGAGGTACGGTGCGAGGGCGTCGTCGGTTGCGTTTTTAAGATCTGTCAATGCAATTTAGTAAGAATCAGGGACAGTCCGAGGGGGGGTTAACGAGGAGCCGTACCATTGACGGAGTAGAGTGAGACTTTCTGCGGAGGTGATGAAGACATGTTAGATGTTTAGGACCCAAGCCCGGGAAGTGCAGAAACCAAAGGAATGGACTACGGCCTTGACATGTATAGAGTACGGATTGCTCAAACTGGCTATTACTCGGCCCCGAATGGACACATTGTCCCTTGACAAGATCGTTTTGGGAAATCTGGGGAAATTCCTTGGCATTAAAGATGAATAATAACGAGGCTACTCAGAGCTCACGTGCGACTCACCTCGCTCATCCTCGTACTCTCCTTTTATTCTAATCGCTCCATCGCGTGTAGACCTCTAAAGCTGCTTACTGTTATTCCCCCTAGCCACTCCCTCTGAAAGAAATCTTTAAGATAGGAAGACTCTGGAGGGCTCACACAAGGTTGAGCACGAGGGCTTCAAAATCTATACGGGTATCAATATACAAGTAGACATTGGACGTGGCGTTTGCGGGCATACCTTTGTGGCTCAGCTGAACACCAGCATCTATGGATGGACGGAGTTCCTCAAATCAAGAAGTTGATTCTGCTCCCCCCCCCCCCCCCCCCCCCCCGGGAAAAAAACCTGTCATCTACTATCGCGATACAGGCCGCAACACAGCGAGCGAGCAGCCTTAACACATGACCAACGGATGGTGTTTCTGTCCCGCACCATCGGTCTAAAAGCACAATAGGAGATGCGTACTGTGCCACAGGGCTCCAATTGGGGAATACTGTGCCAGGCCTATTCGGTCGAGCTTCGTCCATGTAATATTGGCATTTTTCGGAGGTACGACAACGATCACGAAGAACCGCTTGGGACGAGTTTGGCCTATTGTGTATCTTTTGGATGCTCTCAGCAGGGGAACTCGCGAATATAATTCAGATTCAAAGGGTCAGATGTAATTGAAGGGTATTGGATCGTTATACTTAAAAATGATCTTCTTCCACGATAGTTTAGTACGGAGGAAATACTCTCTATAGAGTGGAAGTGAACAAAAAAACTTGAAGAATTAGTACTTGGTATCTTGGTCAGATGAGTGTATAGATGAATGTTCGCTTGAATCTAGTGCCCTCCTTCCAGCTTCTCGTGACACTCTGTAAGCCCTTAGTGGGAAGCCCCTCCTATTTTCCTTCGATCTTAAATAGTCCGGTATTCTCGCTCTTCCGTTGGGATTGAATCTCTCTCCACTCATTACTTTTCTCGGTGGGTGGTCTTTGAAATCGATTTGTTAAGGTTGGCTCAGACTTGTGATCAAATGTGGCATCAATGTGACTGATGAAGGTTGAGAGATGCCATCCTTGCTGGAGGAAGTCTCTTTTTATTCCCTTTCTCGAAGACCGCGCTCAATTTGTTGCCGCTGGAGGAATGTATCTCAATATAAGCCTGCCGAGGGTTGTCGCTATGACTATCTTCTAGGTCCATTGCTATCAATCTACCGTCATTTCGTGCAAAAGTTATCTTTGCATACAAAGGTGAATGAAGTACCTAAATAAACTGTCATGCTCTCTACCATTGTCTAGAGAAATTCGAAGCAATCCCGCTGCTCAAAATGGTCTCTGCATGTCCTTCGGGCGTAGGGGACACATAGTCAGGGCAAGGCCGCACCATCATCTGCGCTGGTAGTGGCTCATCACTCCCTGGTAAAGCTGCGTGTCATCGTCTCGAATTCGGCACATGGTCTGTCGTTGAGTCTCAAGGTACGTCAAGACAAAGCTGGCGGTCATTTCCTCTGCGGTAGCCTGCCCGCCTGCAATGCTCCTTAATTGCTGGATGAATCGTCTCCAGTTGTCTCGTGCGGCTTGGTCGAGGAACTCGGCACTGTTCCGATCCTGTGCGTCGGTGCAGTGGACCCACATCAAACATTGCTCGGTATCGTGCGCGAGGCCCCAGGCCTGGCAGATAACGTCCCTCACTGGAAAATTACATGAGGTGGTCAGTCTCGTGGAGTTGGCATTATCGTCCAGATTGGTGGCTCGACAAATACTTACTGGTCTTATGATAACTAATGTGTTTGTCGAACTCCTTTCGTTGCTCATTTTTCTTGTACAGCGCGTATGCGAGAACAGTGGTCATTCCACCCGCTGCGGCCAAGACGAGTGGATTGAAGCATAAAATTGTTGTCGTCAGGTTCACATCTCCTGAATAGCCGGCAAGCCCAGCTGAAGCCAGAGCTTCTGGCGCAAGAGAGGTCGCAGCTACTGTTTGAGCCACTTGTACGGTCGAGAAGGTCGAGCATCCTGCATACAATGAGAGGCCCATGCTGACACCTTTGGCTGCCGTGTGGCACTTGATCTTCTCACGTTCGTCGATTAGGCTCTCACAAATGTCTCTGTTCGACGTTGCCAGTTGAGCCAACGTCTCGCCGAGAGTATATAGGGAATCGCAAAGAGCTTCCTTCGGCATCATGGACACATGTTCGCCTGCTTCTGCCCCATGAGCAGATTGAGTCAAAGACATTGTGGGCTGTGTTGACGCTGAGACGATTTTGATCGATGTTACCCATACGGTAACAACATCGGTCAATGGTTGAAGTTCCACTCACAATGTCTGTATCTTTGCAAACAGTCGATAAAGCGATTTGTGTCCCTTTGGAAATTTCGATGTGACTCTTTGTACTCACGCTCGAGCTCTGCCCTAGGTCTCACGGAAAGGAGGTTCTACACGTGGTCCATTAGACGCCGGACAGACTGCGTATGAATATGCAGCATGTACCGTGAACCTTCTAATGATCGTTTCACCCCAGCGATCGGTTGAGGCATTCAAGAGTTCTAGGATAGAAGCATTCGTAATCTCTCTGGTGGAAAATATAGAGAAGTTCAGTCCGAAGAAAAAAGAGACTCCCAAGACCAACACCCTAGGGAGGAGCATCCGAAATTAGCAATCAAGAATCACATATGGCAGATTTTCTGTTCTTACCACAACAGAGGCTGATAATCAGATCATCAGTCAATGCCGCATTAAGTTCTGGGAGGAATCACCCCTTGCTTCCAGGCTGTAAGCGAAGAGTGCTTGGCTGAACCAGACTCTCCGAGTTCGAGAAACGGCTTTTATTCCAAGGATTGCCTCTGTGGTAACCAGAAACAGGAATCGGCGAGATGATCTTTTGAAAATCCTGGTACATGGATCTTGACCGGCAGATCGGATGGAAGCATTAGTCAAGATTCCATGCTCGGACAGGCCGAATCGGACCTGCATGTGTAAGGTCAGGATATGGATATGAGCAATCATGTAGACAGGATCTTGATGGAACTTGCCTGGATAACTGTCTTACCCCCGCTCGTCACGGCCAGGTGGTGATCCAGAACCAAGGGCGTCGGAGCAGGATGGAATAGCTCAGCAAGAAATTCGTCGACCCTGCCAGCATACGCGGCCGGTCTGTAGCGGTTCGTGGCGAATTCAAGATGGTACTGTTCTTCAGCGGCTGGATCAGTGCCGCCAAGTCCAACCTTCTCAGGATCAAGTTCGGCCAGACCCAGCTTGTCGAGATCAGATTTGGCGCAACTGCCCCGAGCAAGCGCCATTCCGTCGACCTTAGCCCACCACTGAATGTTGGGTAGATCAGCTAAAAAGAGGCTGAGTACGCGTGCCAGAAGAAACCGGAGTGGAACCTGTCACGGTCCTCGAGTCCTCTAGGTGCGGATTTCGGGAGATATATAGCTACCTGGATGCGGCTGAGGCTGGTCACGAGAAAGGCAACCTGAACGGCGTTCCTGTGCACGGTTGCCTTGCATCCTTGCATCAGCCACCAAGAGCGACGTTCCCCGCGGCCATGTCAAAAGCGAATACCTACGTGCAGGACTGAAATATCTCACCAGGCTACGATAACGCCTTCTGCATCTGCCGTGAATCTGCCTCGTATTCGCAGCAGGTTCTTTTGCTCCTCTCTGAGGAGCAACACAAGTGGCGGTAATCCAGGCAGTCCGACTCGCAGAATACGGGGCTAATCTTCTCTTTCGAGAATTCGATGGTTTGAGGATCCATGCTTTCTGCCGAACACGTGTTTACATGGTTCCCATGAGGAGCGACAAGCTGCTGTTGATACTCGCAACTACTTGGTAGATTAGGCTGGATTATGCTATTAATATTAATTAGTGGGGCCTATGCCCGAATTGCTTGGGGGCTCCACTCACTCCATCGCTCCATCACCCCCTCAACTCCCCGAGCGCCTTCTTGCTACAGAGCAAGGCTACCACCCTGCGTCTGAATAAACATACATACAGTCGATTGCTTGTGCTTGTGCTCTCGTTACTTTCCCTCAACATTCTTTTGCTCTAGTTGTTGGCCTAACAAGTCGTCGCTTTCTCTAACAATCTTGAGTTTCGCAACGAGGCGACGCAATGGACGTGGCTCCGAGGCTGGGAAGCGACGCAACTGCATTGCAGCCCACGTCTATTGCGTCGCCCGCAGGAGGTAGAGGTCGGATACCGCCGCCACCATTCAATGCTGGTGGACTGAGGCGGAATGCGCTGGATCATGTCAGAAGCTATCGAAGATTATTCAATGGCAGCCACTCGTCGACAATCGACTTGCATGCAGCTGAAGGGCCGTCTGAGACAACGAATATTGGCAAGCACCCAACTAAGAAACATGCTGTCTGAGACTCTAACTGTGTGGGCCAGTTTCAGGCCAACAGGGGGGGAAGTACCAAGAGGACCCGATAGTGAAGCGCAAAGTCATCCAGGGCATGCTGATGACTGACCTACAACGCCTTCTCGCCGGGATAGATCGATTGGAACGCTCACTCCGTCGAGGACGCTACCCGAGATGGCTCGTCAACGGTACATTGTGAGTTTTTTCTTCCCCCATCTCAGTGCCACCTCTGGTGAGACTGATGGTTTGCTACTTGTAGAGCTGCCCTGTGGAACGCCATCGTCATCAACTACATACCCGCGCCGAAACGAGACAGCCACGGTAGCCATATTCTGCACAGCAGCTATATCGCGACAGGGGCATACTTGCTATCACTGCCCCTCTTCGGCTATCCCATCCTCAATTATGAGCGGCAGTTGTCGTGTACAGTGGCTGTTAAAGAAGGCCTGATGGACCTGTATGGACTCGTGCGGAAGGGCGCTGTTCTTGACGACGCTGATGTTAGGTGTCTTACCGACTCCCAATGGGACGTAGTTCCCTGGTCCAAGGTGGAAACTGATGTATAGGATCTCAATTCCCCGAAGAAGTAGGTCAAAGATATCCGCCAGGTCTGCACACCGAAACCAAGATCCGATCCCGCCCGTGTCAAAGGGGAAAGTATTCTCCATCGGCAGAGGGAAAGTGGGAGCAACATGGGACATCTTGTCGTTGATAGGTGGTGAAGGTGAACTTAGTAAAGTGTTAATGAGGAACATCCCCCTCTTCCTGGCATCGTTGAAGGGAGAGCAGGATATAAGTTGGCCGAAACTGGAATAGTCTCGCGGTCCTTGTGCAGGAACATCCCATTAGATGACATCATGGTTTCGAGACCTTTTGCGAATACTTCAGCTTTCAAGCGAGGGAATGGGGATGACCTTGTTATAGAGACTTAGGAAAGGGAAGCTCTTCGTGGGGCCAAGACGGAGGAGTGGAGTCTAGATACTATGAAGTGTTACAGACGGTACGTAGACATCCATTCTCGATTTTGACGAATGACAAATAAAGGTGTCAACTGCCGAGGTCGAGTGGATTGAGTATCTGGGCACTTGAATACGCGTAAAGGGTACCTGGTGAAGAGACGTGAGGCCCGAATCAAAGAATCAATGATAGAGCGCAGCCTACGGCAAGAATGGAGTGGTCTGGAATGGAGAGATATCAGGTCGCCATTCATTGACATACAGAAAACACACGCCTTCAGACAGGTGTGCCACTTAGCGTGCTCGAGGCTGACAATTTCAAGCTTTCCCTTCACGAACGCTGAAGACGATATCGCCCAGCGCCGAGCGCTTCAAGTCCTGCGCATCCTTCAACACCGGCCGCCTCTCGCCCTTATAGCCGACTTTCCTCATCCACGCCTCCAGCCCCTTGATCCGATTCGGGCTGATCTCGTCAAGAAGAGCCATGTCCCTCGTGGCCCCGAACCCTTCCCCCCAATACTGCCACCATGCTTTGAAGTTTTCTTTCCAGCTCATCAAGGCGTCGTCGGTCGCCACATTGGGCCCGACACCCCAGTTGGCAGGGGCACCAGGATATGGCTCAGCCTTGGGAAGATACTCCTCCATCGGCATCCGCACGAACCTTGCGTTTTGCCCTGTCACTCGAGCCGCTGCGTCTGCTATTTCCTGCATGCTGACTTGGTCCGTTGCGACCTCCAGATCCATGCCCGCCGATCGGTCGATATGGTCAAACATCCACAAGACAAACGGCCCGACATCGTCCAGCGCAATCAGTGGAATTTTCCCGTCAGCTAAATGATTCCGTCAGAGAAACATGTCTAGCTGAGAAAAACCGCTCGGGGCTACATACCTGCCGGATTGGCCCAAACCAACGAACCGTCAGGCTTTTTGTCCGGCACAAACATACCTTCGAAAAGCATGTCCATGTATGGGCAAGTTGTGAAGAGCGACGTCTTCATTCCTGCCTGGCCTTGTGCGAGGATGAAATCTGCATCGCTTGGTCAACTGGGGGCCTCGAACTAGATCTGACCCTTTTAAATCTGAGGCGACATACCTCCAATTCGCCCCTTAGCATCATTATGGCAACAGTGATATTTTTCGTCCCACCCGGCCTTCTTCAGCGAATAATCGATGCTGGCCCAGATATAGTGCTGGACCTTTTCATGTCGTGCAATCTCGTAGGCCCGGAGTCCATAGAAAAGCTCGTCCTTTTCTCCAAGGGTGAACCCATCGATGTTCACCCACGCACCGTACACGCCATGGAAGGCGTGGTACAAGTCGCTGAGACTGTCTTGCTTACCTTGTATCAAGGTAACGTTGGGGAGAGAGGCGAGGGCCTGTGCACGCTCCGAATGGGGATTACGGGTAAGCACTCTTGCCTTGTAACGACCACTCTCTGACAATGCTGCCAAGGGTCTCCGTGAGCTTAGCTCATTGAGGATATATACAAAAAATAATAACACGCGGACTCACATTTGACGACAGGAGCACCCTGCGCGCCTGTTCCTCCCAAAACCAAGATTTCTTTGAGATTCGCCATGACTTCTGTGGTGGAGTGCCTGTCGTCTGCAAATGCATCGCTGCAACGCACCTTTTATATTCGTGTCTCTCCCCTCGAAAATAGTCTACGAATATTGGTTCCTCAGCCCCCTTGGCGGGTCTCGTTAACCTTTTCAGCCAAAAAAAGCCGACTTTCACGCACCGCGCATCCATACCATCAACAATTCCGTGGGACATGCGTCCGGGGACGGTTCCTTTGATTATTCTGAATTTGAAATACCGGACCTCGGTCATCGATCAGTGATTATTTACCACGAGTAAACCAGGCACTCTGCTGGGTTGCTTGTGCGCAAGCAGACTTGTTGTAGTCCGATTGTAGCTGAAGTTGACGCTTTGTCTCTTCTCCGTGTACATAGACGCACCACTTGGTGGAGTCCGTTCGCCATAGAGCAGGCGAGAGTGATTACATTGAAGCAATAGCAAGACTACCAAAATGACTTGGTTGAAGGAGTCGCCCCGCAAATTTGGGGAGGTCACCCTAGACTCGGAGCCGTCAATGTTGAGGCGCAGGGTGTTTCGCAAGATTCCTAACCTTTCAGCCCCAACTCAAATTGAGATGCGACATCGTCCCTCTGTCAATGTGCTCGTCTCGACCCTTGAACTCGGTGCCGCTGTGAAGATTTGAATAGAAGACGTCGGTTGCGGTAAATGACGAACTTGCCTCTTTAGGTTAGGCTGTATCTCACCTCCCCACTACCCTTTGCGTCCCAACCCCACGACATGGCTGCATCGCAATCCTGACCTCCAGGTTCCCGTTGTATCTTATTGGTGACGGAAGGCCTTGAGTATCATGGGAGTTCATCAGAGTCTATCTAACTTTGTGTGATTCTATGGTTTCAAATGAAAGGAGAGCGCGAGCTATGAAGCCGAAACATACACCCTTGCCTCAAACGGCTGCATGCTATCCTTGCCAGGATCATCGACGTTTGCAACGGCAAGGCTGAAGGTTCGGTCGTCCTCCAAGACTCCCATGGGCGCCCATTTCTTCTCTTGGCTAGACATATTGGCCACGGTCAAAGATTTCGTCCCGTCCGTTCCCTCTTTGACGAAGACAACCATGTCGTCGTCTGCTTTCTCACTCTCAATCTCGCGGAACTTCCCATACACGAAAACATCCTTGCGTGCCTTCCTCAGACTCACCATCCGTTTCCAAAATTCCAAGACACTGTTTTTGTTCCCGACTTGGTCCTCGACATTGATCTGCTCATGAGACTCCAGCACGCTCATCCACGGCTTGACATGATCAGGGCAGAAACCCGCATTCGCTCCTTGCCCCTTCCATTGCATGGGCACTCGCGCGTGGTCACGTGCTGTCTTCTGCAAGGTGTCCAGCGCCTCAGAAAGGGCGTTGGGATCGCTCTGGGACTTCTCTCGAACCTCGTTCAGATGCGAGACGGACTTGATGCACTTGTACTCGTCGGCCGACCAGGAGCGAGGTGCGTTGATCATCCCAATCTCCTGTCCTTGGTAGATGAACAATGTTCCGGTTAACGTGGCTAAGATGGCGGCCAGCATTTTGGCAGCACGCACGCGGAACTCGGGGAGATCGGAAGCAAAGCGAGACACGGAGCGGCCTTGATCGTGGTTCTCCAAGAACACCGTCGTCCAGGCATCGGTATTTTCGATCACAGACTGCCATTTGAAGAGCTCGCGTTTGAAGTCTTTGGTGGTGAATGGACGGGGTATGAAGCGAGCGCCAGGTGTCTGACCCAGGTCCACCACGTCGAAATTGAAAACCATGTTCAGCTGTTTGTTGCGGGCCGAGATGTAGGCCATCACATCGGCTTCGTTCGGCGTGTACGGCAACTCCCCGACCGTCATGGTGTCGTATTTGGCCAGAATATCATTGATCTCGCACAGATACTCTTGCATTCGTGGTCCATTGGCATAGTACATCATCGCTGGTTGCGATTCATTCTCAGGGTAAACAACAGGGGCATCTGGCAGCCCTGGATGTTTTGAGTAGAGATTGACCGTGTCTATGCGGAAGCCGTCAATGCCCTTGTCAAGCCAGAACTTGATGGCACTCTGGTAGATGGCCCGCCTACACTCGTTGTTCTCCCAATTGAGGTCCGGTTGCTCTGGTGCATATAGATGGAGATAATATTCTTGACTGGTCTCATCCCAGGTCCAAGCGGGTTTCGAAAAATTGCTTCGCCAGTTGTTTGGACGGCACCGGTTGCCGTCTGCATCATACTTGGCTGGACGCCAGATATACCAGTCCCTCTTGGGGTTGGTCTTTGAGGAGCGAGATTCTTGAAACCAGCGATGAAGACTTGAGGTGTGATTTATCACCAAATCGAAGATAACACGCATACCGCGGTCGTGAACGGCCTTTATGAGTTCTTCCGTCTGCTCGAGAGTACCGTACTTGTCGTGGATGTCTTCGTAGTCTTGGATATCGTAGCCCATGTCCACCTGAGGACTCTTGTAGTGCGGACAGACCCAGATCA